CCCCCAGGGGGATAACCATGCTGCAATTCCTTCTCCTCTATTCTCCTCCTGGGATCTTGGACACACATGTACATGCACCCAATGTTAGTTTCAAGTCACCCTGCCCAGGACTTGAACTGCAGCTGGCCATGTGTTAGTCCAGTAACATAACTGCTATGCCATCTGCTAGCCCCCAATATATGAGCATTTTGAAGTAAGGCTTGGCACATCCTAATTGCAGTGTGATCACAAGAGAGTATTATCATTGTCCATAGTATACAACTTTTGTCCAAAGTGGTGCATTTGTCTATTCTGTTTCTAAAAAGAGAAATACTTGAGTCTTGGTGATTAATAAAAGATAAAGGTTTATTTAGCTGATAGTTTTGGAGGCCCAAGGTCAAGGGCTGTACCTATAAGGAACTTCATTGTAGAGTTAAGAACCTTACAGGGCATCACATGGTGAGACACAGCAAGACTGAGCAAGAGTTAGCAAGAGTTGCACATGCGTCCATGTCCATATCTTATGTATTTTTAATTTTTAATTTATTATTATCATAATCTTGTAAATATTACATCAAATCACATATATCTTTACAGTGTATTACATGGCTTTTTTCAGAAGGAATACCTTTCATATCTGTCAAGACAAAGACATTACTACTATCCACATCATTATCAAATAGCTTTTCATTATTTTTTTCCAGATTATTATTCTTATTATTTTTTCAAACATTCAATCACTATGTATCATTTTGCTTGTAAAAAGCATTTACCCAACATGAAATACTTCTCAGACCAATCCAATTGAGTATACTATACATGTTATCATCAACAGATAATAAATCACTTCTGTGTCCCCCTAATATCATGCTTCTCTATTTGTTCTCTTGCTATCCTTCTCTATACTTTTCCCTTCTCCTGCCTGGTTCGATACTGTCTTCTGCATCCCTAACTCTTTTCACTGCTTCTATGCCCTCCGATATTTTGATCTCTGCTACAAAGTGCGAATAGTCAGTATATATTAAGTGGATATATACAATATCTTTCCTATCCTGGCTTGCTTCACTCAGCAATAGATCCTCCATATCTGACTTTCTATTGAATGCCAAGATCTTGTTTTTTGCTTTTTTTTTGGCTGAGAAGTGTTCCATAGAGCATATATACCACACTTTTTCAATCCATTCACCTGTTTGTGTCCATGTCTTATAAACCCAGTGGTATCCATTCATGGGGCCCCACCTTCAAGCACAGTAATTGGATAGCCCCCCCCATCTCAATGCCATTACAATGGCTCTCCAGATTTCTCTACCTGAAATTTTGGGGGACACATTCAAACCATTGTGAAATGACTCCTTCTGGTGTGATAATAAGTATAGTTATTGAACTATTTTGTGAACTAACAGGGTTTTCTTAAGAAACGATCACCTCAAGAAGCTGAAGTTCTTCGCCAGCTCTACACCCAGTCTTTCCCAGACCTGTTCCGCTTCAGTGTTCAGAATTTAGAATACAAGATGGAGGTGCTCGAGGCCTTTGTCATCACGCAAAGCATAAACATGCTTCAAGGCCTGATCCCTCCCAAGGTAAGTCGTTCTACTTTGTCTCTTGTTAATTGAGTTATATATTCTGCAGAGGCTGCACTATTTGAAATCAGATCTGCTTAGAGCTGTGGGGGAGGGAGAATGTTTCAAACATGGACCTCACAATTTTTTTTTTCTCCCTACCTTGTTTTTTTTCTCAAGGCAAGTCATGAATTTGGAATTTCATTGCTAGTAAATAAAATCATCCAGTAATTATACTTGCTTGCTTGCTTCCTGTAATTGTTTAATTGCCAAGGAGTATGTGGACTCAACAGAGAGAGAGAGAGAGAGAAAAAGAGAGAGACAGAAAAAGAGAGAGGCAGAGAGAGAAAGAGAAAGATGGAGAAAGTACCCACTATGTGGGGTATGGTCCCAAAGCCATCCCTTTTCTTCCATTTCTCCACACTGTGGGAATTTGGAGCATGAAAGGACTGCATTTCAAGTTGCAAGACTGGGATCTGAACCACTGTCAGCCATGTGGAGTCCAGTCCCTTTAACCATTAGGCTGTGGGAAACTCCCTAATTAATTAATTTTAATTCATTAAATTTGCTATAAGGCACATGTACTCACTCACTGGGGTGGGGTGGGGGAGAAAGCCAGCCAGGTCTGTCTGTCACCCCTTCCCCGGTTGTTGGCCATGCTGCAATCCCTTCACTTCCATTCTCCTCTTGTCGGCCATGCTGCAATCTCTTCACTTCCATTCTCCTCTTGTTGGCCATGCTGCAATCCCTTCACTTCCATTCTCCTCTTGTCGGCCATGCTGCAATCCCTTTATGTGCACTCACACCCATGCACACCCATGCTGCTGCAATCCCTCCCTGGGGATGCTCCGCTTGTCGGCCATGCTGCAATCCCTTCACTTCCATTCTCCTCTTGTCGGCCATGCTGCAATCCCTTCACTTCCATTCTCCTCTTGTCGGCCATGCTGCAATCCCTTCACTTCCATTCTCCTCTTGGGATTTTTGGGCACCCATGCGTATGTGCACTCACACCCATGCACACCCATGCACATGTGCACCCACATATACACTGTCCTGGAGTGTTTTTCAAGCCACGAGTTCAGGACTAGAACCACAGTAGGCTACGTGTCATCCAGCCACTCTAACCACCAGCCCTCCAGCTGCTCCCTGCTCCCCATTTATTTTTTACGTCTGGCTCTATATTTTTGTAAGTCCAGCTTTTGTTCCTCAGTTCAATTCAGCCTTTCTTTTGTTCTCAAGAAAAAACTACTGTCTCTTTTTCTATGTTGACTCTTCATTGAAACACTCTTGTTCTCAAGGAAAAACACTGTCCCTTTTTCTATGTTGACTCTTCATTGAAACACTCAAAGTGAAGTTTGGGGTTGGAAATGAAGCAACGTGAAAAGCCAACCGTCTTCTTTGGTCCTTAGGAGCAAGGCGTGGAGCCTGGGCCGGAGCACTTGGGGAGGCTGTACGTCTTCGCCCTCATGTGGAGCATCGGGGCGGCGCTGGAGCTGGATGGCAGGCAGCGGCTGGAACACTGGCTGCGCTCCCGGCCCGCGGGCATGCTGGACCTGCCAACCACAGCTGGCTCCCAGGACTCTGCCTTCGACTACTACGTGGGCCCCGATGGTAAGGACGCTCTGTCCCAGTCAGGTGCAGCAGATGGGGGAACGTTTCCAAAAGGCTCATGTTTACATTAACCTTTTTTTCTCAGTGGTAATTAAAACTCTTGGCTGTAAAACCGAAATGGAAATTAAAAAAAAAATAGAAAAAAAGCTAGTAATTGTTTCTTTTTAAAAAATTTACTGGGTGTTCCAAATGCACATTTTCCCCTTTCAAAATGTGACTGACATTTTAGTGAATTTAGAAAAATTTAAACTCTTCCTAAATCAAATTGATTTTAGCTATTCATGGAATAGAATCAGCCATTTATATAAAAATATAGTTTGAAGTATATTTTTATGAAATATACATGATCCATATCTATATTTCTCTTTTTAATAAGGTTACATATGCAAACATATATACGATATCCTAGGATCTTTTCCTTAATGCAAACTTTTGAGATTAGACATTTACAATCGATTGGTTATTTTAAGGGTGTGCTACTCTCACTCCATTCTGTATTTGCTTTTCCTTTTTCTTCCTATTTACCAGAAGGCATGTGAGTTTGCTGTAGACAGACAGACAGAGAGGGAGAGAGAAACGGAGAGAAATCCTTCATGGGGAGAGGACACACTGCAATCCTTTCACCTTCTCCCTCCTTCACGTGTTCCTGTCGTATGTCTCAAGCTGCCAGGTCTGGGATTTGAACTGCAAGGCTGTCCATCTGGGATCTAGCCACCTTAACCACCATGATACAGGCTGGCCCCTTTTCTATATATTTTTTTCTTATTTCTCCTTTTTTTTTTTTTTGAGAGGTCTTTGCTCTACGGCGCGTGCGCTCGCCAGACAGACGGAGAGAGACAGAGAGACAGAAAGCAAGAAATCACCCCCCAGGGGGGATGATCACGCTGCAATCCCTTCTCCATTCTCCTCTCGGGATCTTGGACACTCAAGCACACGCTCCCGGTGTGAGTTCTAAGCCACCGGGTCCGGGATGCGAACCGTGGTCGACTATGTGGGAATTCAGCGACATAGCCATTACGCTAACTGCTGGTTCCCCCTTTTCTGTATTTTTACATACACTTTACATTATTGAAAACCTATATATTTAAAAAGCAACCACAAAACACTTTCTTTTTATTATCATACATTCAATCGCTATACATTTTCTAATATTTTGTAATATTACCTCTTTGGAACAGTTTCTTGGGAAATTTTGAGTCAGCTAACATATACTTGTATACTTAGATTGCTATTTTTTTTTTTTTTGAGAGTTTTTTGCTACAGGGTGCGTGCGTTCGCCAGAAAGAGAGAGACAGAGAGACAGAAAGCAAAAAACCATCCCCCAGGGTTATTGGCCATGCCACAATCCCTTCTCCTCCATTCTCCTCTTGAGATCTTGGGCACACATGCCTAGCATGAGTTTAAGCCACTGGGTCTGGGACTCAAACCGAGGTCGACTGCATGAGAGTCCAGCAACATAGCCATTATACCAACTGCTGGTCCCAAGATCGCTAATTTTAATGATCTTTGTTTAACAGGGCGTATTTGTAAAGTACTTTATAAGAGTTAAAGGATGTCTGCTTATTACAGTCAGGAGTTAATTGTTAATACAAAGATGCGTGTGCTCTCTGCTCACTCAGGTAATTGGATGCACTGGAACACCTGTACCCAGGAATATGTGTATCCAGCTACTACCATCCCAGACTATGGCTCTATCCTGGTGCCGAATGTGGACAATGTGAGGACTGACTTTCTGATTAGAACCATCGCTAAGCAGGGCAAGGTACAGCTTTTCAACTTTTATTTTTAAAATCTACGTGTCAGTCTGTGTATATTCAACTCTGATTCTCTGATTGTATCCAAATTTCCTCTTTTTTTTTTTTTTTTTAAATTTGATAGAGGGCACGTGTGCTCACCATAGAGAATGTGAGAGAAAGAGAGGGGGAAGTGAGAACCCACCCTCTGGGGGGAACTCCATTCTCCTCACAGGATTTTGGGTGCATACATGCATGTCTGATGTATTTTTTTGGGGGGAGGGATGGAGAGGTTTTTGCTATAGGGCCCTCACCAGACAGACAGAGACAGAAAGTGAGAAATCACCCCCCAGGGGGGATGGCCACGCCGCAATCCCTTCTCCTCCATTCTCCTCTTGAGATCTTGGGCTTGCACACACACGTGCCTGGTGTGAGTTTAAGCCACCGGGTCCAGGACTCGAAGTGCGGTCGACTACATGGGAGTCCAGCAACATAGCCCTTACGCTAACTGCTGGCTGCCATGTCTGATGTATTTTTCAAACCATCAGGTCCAGGACTCACATTGCTCAGTTGGCCATGTGGGATCCAGTTGCCCTAACCATCAGGTCACTGACTGGTCTTAACTTTCCTCTTCTAACAAGGACACCAGCTGGATTGGGTTAGGGCCCACTCTAATGCCTTGTTTCACCATAGTCACCTCCTTATAGACCCTATCTCCAAATATAATTATGTTCTGTTCTGAGGTACTGCGGCGGTTAAGGCTTCAAATTTTTCAATTTGGGGGGGGGGGGGGGGGTTTCACCATAGTCACCTCCTTATAGACCCTATCTCCAAACATAATTATGTTCTGAGGTACTGCGGCGGTTAAGGCTTCAATTTGTACATTGTGGGGTGGGGGTGGGGTGCACAGTTCAACCCACTAGCAATCATTTTATTTCATTTATTGTATTTCTTTCCCAACTCCTCTGTTTTAGGCTGTTCTGTTAATTGGTGAACAAGGAACAGCCAAGACGGTTATAATCAAAGGATTTATGTCAAAATACGACCCTGAAAGTCACGTAATCAAGAGTATGAACTTTTCTTCTGCAACCACCCCACTGATGTTTCAGGTACCGACTCTGGTTTTACTTGTTAAGCCTAAGTTTGTGACAAACCTTGGAGACTCAGACGTTTTCACTGCTCTGCCTGTGCTCCCTAATTCACCTGAGCCTTCATAGCTCTAGTAGGTCCCCTACATGCTCATCTCTCATCCTGACTAACTATTATTCAACTATGATAGAATCTTTCTAGGTTATAATGTGTGATCTTAAACTATGGAGTAATAAAAAGCTTATTTAGGCTGCTATAGGCCCCAGAATTGTCTAAAATGATATAGAAAAGCCTGTAAATGCACAAAATCCAAAATGGCAAGAAATATAATTTACTCCCCCACTTAAACCTACTTCCTCTCCCTAGTGTTTTCATTCGTGTGTGTGCTACCATTATCGTAGCTTTCAGGCTAGAAACTTTAGAGTCAACTTGATGGCTTTCTCTTGAATCAGAGCCTGTTAATGTATGTAAAAAAAATACTTTTCACATCTCTTCCTTTTTCTTTGTGGTCCCTGTCCACCTTTGTGTGATCTACTTCTTCATGATTCTACACCAGGAATATTAGCATCAAAGAATCCCTAGCTTGTCTTGGCCCCAGTTTGATTCTCTTCCGGTTTAGCTTTTACACCTCTTCCAATCTGTTTCCTAAATTACACCTTTATCTTGCTGTTCCCTGACTTAACATTCTCCCATGGCTTCTGTGATCTATTTCAACAGGGTGTAAAATAGTAGATGTCAACCTTTGAAATATTTTACCTTGCCTTGTCATAGAAGAGTGAAGGGAAAGATTCTCAATTTTGCATTGCCTTTGTCAGTGAGACAGCCAGTAATGACTGGGTTTGCCATGGCTGATTGGCTCATTTTCTCTTGGTTCTAAGTTGTATGAGACCCTATTGAAGCTGAGAAGGAAACCCTAGAGAGGGTCCTAGCCCATGCTTCTATTATTTGTGAATCATCTCTTGTATCTTTTTTTATTTTTATTTTTTGGAGAGATTTTTGCTATAGGGCATGTGCGCTCGCCAGACAGACAGAGAGAGACAGAGAGACAGAAAGTGAGAAATCACTCCCCAGGGGGATGGTCATGCCGCAATCTCCTCTTCTCCACTCTCCTCTTGGGATCTTGGGCACGCGCACACACACGCGCCTGACGTGAGTTTTAAGCCACTGGGTCTGGGACGCGAACTGCGGTCGACCATGTGGGAGTCCAGCGACATAGCCATTATGCTAACTGCTGGTTCCCATCTCTTTTATCTTTATTAGAACATTAATACATTACCAAAAGGATACATCTCATAAATTGTAAATGGGAAATTTTGGAGGGAATCCAATTCCAAAGAACTTTGTTTTTTATGAACTTGTTCTTTAGCTATTGGAATGGAAATATCAAAGCAATGAAAATTGTTGAGGCCATGGCTAAATCAAGACTTTTTATCACTTAATTTAATTGGTGACAGCAGAGTGCCAATACACTAAGACCACTGATTAAATTTCTAATAAGACTGTCAACTTCATTATAGTCCTCTGTTGGAGATGGAATTTTCAATATAGATTGGCCTTCTAAAATGAATACCATTTATACAGCATCCTGGTGGGAAGGTCTGGATGGAAGGTTAACCCCTAGCTGTAGTGACGCAGTAGTAGCATTTTTGTGTTTGGGGAACAGCACACTAAATTATCCTAAGCTGATAAGAACCCTAACTTTATACATATTCCATTAATACTGCTTAACATTTAAAGAGCTTTTGTTCATTTTACCTTAGGAGAATATCCACTTTTAAAGGTGTAATTATTACCTTATATGAGCATAAAGATTTTTCAAAAATCAGGTCAAAGCGATTTTCCTCCCATGTAAGGTAGTTATCTAGCTATTCACACTTCTTGAGACAGTACTAAGTTGTCATGCCTGCAATATAAGTCTAACAGTAACTGCCCAGAGCTGGTGCAGACTTTATAGTTAAGGGCAAAGTCCCCCACAAGACTGCCCTGACTTCAGATACCAGTCACAAACTCAGGGGTTTGTAGGTCACCTGTCCCTCTGATCAATTGGCTACAAATACAGGAACTCCCCATGACTCTCTCATTTTAAAAAAATCACTAGAAGGTTTTGTAGAACTTAGAAAATACTATGTTAACTAATAATTTTCTTGTAAAAGATGCAAATCAGAATCAGCCAAAACAAAAAACCACAAAACAAAACAAAACAATGACAATGCATAGAACAACCTTTGGGAGGGTCCCCAGTGTGAACCTTCCTCGTCCTCAGGATGTGTTTCCCTGGTCATTAAGTGTATCACCAACCAGGAAGCTCACCCAGACTTCAGTGTCCTGAATTTTTATTTTATTTTTATAACATAAGCATGCTTGATTAAATTATCGACCATGTGATTGAATTCAATTTCCAAGCACCTTCCCCTTCCAGAAAATCAGCTGTTATCAGTGACTTAAAACCCTTACTCTCCTATCACATGGTTGGTCTTTCTGGCTTGAGTAGTCTGAGAGAGCATATAAATAACAACCACATTGCTATTCCTTGGGAAATCCCAAGGGTTTAAAGCCTCCCTCCCAGGAATAAGACAAAGGCCAGTCAAATTCCTTATTTATTTACTTTTTTTTTTTTAAATTTTAAAGAATTATTTTAACTGCATTTGTTATTATCATTAAAATTTTTTTTTGCCAGAGAAATACAGAAAGAGAGAGCGAGAGAGGGAAAATGGGAAAACAGTCTGCCAGAGAGGCAGAGAAATGTGGGGGGGATAAGAAAGAATGGAACCTGAATCATGGTCGACCATGTGGGAGTCCAGCACCTTTAACAACCAAAGCCCACACCACCTGCTGGCCCCCAAATTCCTTATTTTAAGATAAGATATTTTTAAATTTTTATTTTTTAGCTTTGTTCCATAAGGCATGTGCTCACAGGAGAGAGAAAAAGAGAAACAGCAGGAGGCAAAGTGAGAAATCACACCCTAGGAGGGCCAGCCCCACCTCAATCCCTTCTTCTCTATTCTTCTCCTGAGATTTTGAGCATGCACACAAATGCATCTGGTGTGATTTTTCAAGCTGCCCAGTCTGGTACTCAAAACATGGTCAGCCATATGGAAGTCCAGTGCCTTAACCAGCATGCTTCTTGCTAGCCCCTGAGACAAGGCTTTGTCACTGTTTATTTATTTATTTAGTTTTAGAGGTTTGTGCTATAGAGCACGTGCGCTTGGCAGAAAGACGGAAAGAAAGAGAGACAGAAAGCGAGAATGGCCACACTGCAATCCCTTCTCCTCCATTCTCCTTTTGGAATCTTGGGGACGCATGCATGCATATGCGACTCTCATGAATTTAAGCCACTGGGTCTGGAACTCGAACTGTGATCGACTACATGGGAGTCCAATGACATAACCATTACACCAACTGCTGGTCCCTGTCACTGTATTAAACTGTGGCTTTTATCCCTTTGGGTAGTAAAGATTTTGGTCTATATCTCTTTAACATGAGATATTTATTAATTTCTTGGAAAAAGGCCATAAATTATCTAAAAAAACCTTTTTATTGTTTCATATATAAATTCATAAGCCATATAACTTCTAGAAATGGTACCATATTAAAGTATGATAATCAGATGAGTAATAAAGCAGACTTTGAAAACATATAACTCAAATTCTACAGGGTCTCGTCTGGGACTATGTTAGCCCCATTTCTTTCCAACCTTCAGTGTTGAGGGGGAATTGATGCATTGCAATTTCTTTTTCTGTCCCGAAGCATCATAGGACTCTCTGTTCTTAGTGCCCGGGCCTGTTTTGACTGCAGAGCACCAAGGCTTTCTATTGACCAGGACTCATTAGTTTTAGAAAGCTTTTAATTAGCTGAACTACTATAATTAACTTTCTCCCTATAATTTTCATCATTCATGCTAAATTGGGCTGATGGAGCAGCCTACGTATTTGATACCCCACCAAACTGAAACTGTAGTTGAGAAATTGGATGCTGTCCTTCTCTGTCTGTTACCACAATGGCACATTGTTCCATCGGTGACCGGACAGGTTGTCACCCTCAGGGTTTCCCTAATTTTCACCTTGATGTCACTTTCATGCCTTTTACCAACTGGAGTCCCCTCTGCCAGGGGTAGTCCAGCTATGACTCCTTCCAATGACTTTTCTTATTCAGATGTCTGCTAGATCACTTACTGAACTTGTTTTTAGCTTCTAGTTATGCATTATTATATTTTCACGTTAGTTTTGATACCATTTTTTAATTTTTATGTGCTATCAAGCATGTTTTTCAGTTGCTAAAGGGCATGTGCTGTGCCCTTGCCAGAGAGAGACGGAGACTGAGTGAGACAGAGAAAGGGAGATAACATCCCCCAGTGGGGCGTGGTCATACTGCAATCCTTTCTCCTGCATTTCTCCATCCTGTAGGGATTTTGGATATGCGTGCACAGGGACCCAGGATGTTTTTTAGGCTCTGGGTCACAACTTGAACTGTGGTCAGCCATGTGAGATCTGGCTCCCTTGACCACTAGGCTACAGGGCAGGAGCCTACCATAAAGCATTTTAAGCATTCCTAAGTAAGACTACTTCCACTTTGATTTAGTGAATTACAGTAAAATGGGAAGACATTATTTAAGCTGTAGATTTCTAATAAAGACTCATCTCTTTATTTGTTATAGCTAATAGTACATATATGGAAACCTAAAATAAAGTATATTTTATATCTCAATTTAGCCATATATAATACATTTGATAAATGATTTAAATGCTAGTATAGAGAAATGCATAGAGACAAAATAAAATATCCTTAGAATGATAAATGATTTAGTGCTAGTATAGAGGAATGCATAGAGACAAAATAAAATATCCTTAGATTGGGTAGTTCATTAAACTTACCAAGTGCTTTCACATATAATAGAAAATGATAATGTATAGTACTCTGTATGTATACACACATATACTTCTGGTCTGTGATTTTAAAAAATATTAGTAACTTACATAAAATTAGAAAGCTAGTAAGTGTGAAAAGCTCTAGTCTATTTCTCTTTCTGACTTTAAAACCAGCCAGAGCTATTATAAAAGGCTATTGAGGTTATACAGATTTTGTGCTGTGTCTAATTTGTAGAGACGATTATGTGAATGGTCAAACCAAGAAGTAGGCAATGCACAGTCTCTTCAAATGCACATGACCTTGCCAATACTTGATGTGCACAATCAGATATAGCTAGAATAAGAAATTCTACTTAGGATGCAATCGAAGTACTGTGGACCCCAGAGGGGGAGAGGATTAGTTTCTTTAGGGGATTATAGATATCAATGTAATGAAAGGGTTGACCTTACTTGGGGGAGTTTAATATTTATTAAATTAATTTTTAAGAATTTTATAAGGCTGAAGATGTATTAAAAATTAATTCAGAAAATTGAATTGCCCCTAGATTTTGGGGCTCCTGGGTTAGAATGAAAAACCACAACTTTCTTCACCACCATTCCTAAGTCTACCTGGTTTTCTACACTTCCAGTTTTTATTCTTAAAATGCTTCTGTCCTAACTGGGCTTAATGTTGGTAACTGAGTGTGGATAGATGGACCGTGAGCAATGATGTATATGACTTATAAAGACCTTTCCAGGATTGACTGGAGGCAGGAAGGACAAAGAGAGTGTGACGCATTCATCTTTGTGAGAAAGACAAATAGCTGAGTGAAGGTACATCACTGTTTGGAGCGGAGTGGATGCTTCAAAAAGCGACATTGAAATTAGAATAGAAATAATTTAATAATGTAAGCACAATTGGATAGTTGGTGCCAGTCTCTGAGTTAGGGTGCTTATGTGGTGAGCATGAGAACTTTGTTTCAAAATGTTGATTTTGGGATGGTGCGGAGCAACCAAGTGGGGAAGTCGAGATGGAGATATCTCTCCAAGTGCCCAGTTTTTCAAAACATCCCCAGGTAGATAGATAGGTAATGGAGCAGAACATACCCTTACCATGTTTCAGGCCTAGTGGAAGTCTCACCAAGAACCAAAATTCACTAGGGAACTGGAACACGGGCTGCAACCCTGAGAACAAAAAGAAGTCTCATCCTCCAGGCTCACATGCGATTTAATTTTCCTCTTTTGTTTCTCTTTTTGATGACTTAGCTCTTTCCTGACACATATGTTTTACTAGTAATTTCCTGTCATTTCATAAAAAATTAGGATCATCATAAAGGGGAGAAGTGCACCTATGTAGGAATCAGCCTGCATTTGTCTGACTGTGCCACCATGGCTTTTTAGCCCTTAGACGTTCCCCCAAGACATAAAATGCTACTGTGCTAGAGGGTTCTCATTAATAGACACAGGGATGTCTGCCTAGTCTGCCTTAGGGAGGTGTCAGGGGGTTATTAATTGGCCTATGCGCTTAACTTCATGGAAAAGCAGAGCTAAATTTAGCCTACTTCATTACTTTGAGCAGTTTACTTTTATGTCAGGGGAATACAAAATTCTTTTTGTCATTGGACTAGTTTATGGGAGATTTATTTTGTGATTGAAAAGTTGTAGTGTGTGTGTATACATATTTTTATTTAAATATGGTGAACATTTTCAGATCTTGTATTTACTTAAAACAAGGAAAACTTACAATTTGCAATTATTGTAAACTTTCTCCAGGACAGATGTATAGATTTTTGCTTATATCTCAATCTCATTTTATGGTTATAAAAGTCATTATTTTCCCTTTTTTTTTTTTTGGGGAGTTTTTTTTTAAAAAAAATTTTTTTTGCTATAGGGCGTGTGTGCTTGCCAGAAAGACAGAGAGAGACAGAGACAGAAAGCGAGAAATCACCCCCCATGCCACAATCCCTTCACTTCCATTCTTCTCTTGGGATCTTGAGCACACATGCACACACGCACGGTGTGAGTATAAAAGTCATTTTTAACTACTTTACTCTTCATTGTAAGAAAACATCTTCTTTTTTTGGGGGGGAGGGGATTCATTTTAACTTAGCATACCTGCACTTTCTTCTGTTACTTAATATGCAGGTTCTTACCATGTTACTTAACATGTAGGTTCCTGCAGTGCTAGGAATAAGATGAGATCTTTAAGATTTTGAGCTTATTGGGTTTGAGAACTTTGTAGCCCTGTTTTCTTTTCAGTGCTAGATTCTGCATACAGAGTACATGACCACAGGTATGAGAATATCACAGACAACAGCCCATGGTTCTTCCCTCATGTGCCCCTGCCACTACTTTTTTTTTTTTTCCTTGGGAGAAGTTTTTCGCTATAGGGAGCGTGCGCTCGCCAGACAGACAGAGAGAGACACAGAGACAGAAAGTGAGAAATCACCCCCCGGGGGGATGGTCACGCCGCAATCCCTTCTCCTCCATTCTCCTCTTGGGATTCTGGGCACGCACGCACACACGCCCGGCGTGAGTTTTAAGCCACCGGGTCTGGGACGCGAACCACGGTCAACTACGTGGGAGTCCAGGGACATAGCCATTACGCTAACTGCTGGTTCCCTGCCCCTGCCATTTCTAATGCCCCTTCCATCAGCTTTAATTTTTTTTATATTGCAAAGGTTTTTATAGAGCACAGTGTGGTCTCCTCCTCTGCCACCTACTCTCAGAATGCAGAAATGAGTGAGGAGGTACAGGTGGGCTTTGTTCTCCATTTTGTGCTGGGAAATAAGAAGTGAGTCAGCGCTAGTTCAGTGACCCTCAACAAAGCATGCCTGACTTACGTCAGGCTTGGGAGCCAGATAGCAGCCTGCTCAATGAAGGGCAGCTTTAGGACCATGGCAGGCTGTGTAGCTCAGAGCATAGACCAAAGGAGCCGTGTGGACAGTAGCCCAGTTTGGTTTTATCTCTGATTATAGGAAAACTTTCAGCAGGGCTGGGGCCTTTGAATAAGGGGTTGTAGTGTTATCAGCATAGGCACAATAAGACAAAAATAAATTTTTAGAAACGGACAGAGGAGTTTCATCCTTTCAAAATTTATGTTGCTCAGAATTTCACTTACTCCTAAATTAACCAAATTTTCAAAGGTTATGAAAGTATGTGGGTAATTCAGGTTCTTTAGGACTTGTTAGCCTGAATTAAGGAGGAAATTTTGACTTTTTAAAAGTATTTCTTGTCAGTTCAAAGGTTCTTAGTTAAAAACATTTAAAACATTCTTCATGTCTTAGGGGATATTTTTACAGACATTTCTGTTGGCTTTCTTGTTTAACAGAGGACTATAGAGAGCTATGTGGATAAACGCATGGGCACAACATATGGCCCTCCTGCAGGAAAGAAGATGACCATTTTTATTGATGATGTGAACATGCCAATAATCAATGAATGGGGAGATCAGGTACATTGATCCTATAGCACATTTCATTTCTTCAATTCAGCATCGATTTATTCTTTGTTAAGTAAATGTTTTCTACTTTCTCGAGAATTCAGTACCTCAATTTCAATAGAGTTCATTGTTTGGAAACAGTGCAAGAGTCAGGATCCAGAGGTGCAAGGGGACAGAAAGAAATTGTATATTAATCTGAGAGTGCTCTTTCTTAGGTTACTAATGAGATAGTACGGCAGCTGATGGAGCACAGTGGATTCTATAACCTAGAGAAGCCTGGAGAATTTTCCAGCATTGTGGATGTCCAGTTTTTGGCAGCCATGATTCACCCTGGGGGTGGACGCAATGACATCCCCCAAAGACTCAAGAGGCAGTTTTCCATATTCAACTGCACGTTGCCCTCTGACGCTTCCATGGACAAGATCTTTGGTAAAATAATTGTCAATAGGGGTTGGGGAGGGAAGAACCTCCTGCTTGTGTTCCTGTGAGAAGATATCCACCCAGATGTCAACAAAGAAAGAACATTGGGTGGCTCCCTAGCCTACAGCCTTCATCACTCTCAAGTTGTATTTTGTTTAATATAGGGATTTATTTTAGATGTGTACTGAATAGGATACTTGGGTGCTAGATAGATTTCCTCTCCCTTCCCTTCCCTTCCCTTCCCTTCCCTTTCCTTTCCTTTCCTTTCCTTTCCCTTTTCCTTTCCCTTTCTTCTTTTTTTTTTTTTTTTTTTTTTAAGGTTTTGCCATAGGGTGTGTGCACTTGCCAGAGAGAGACAGAGAAAGACAGTGAGATGGAAAGTGAGAAATCACCCTCCTGGGGAGGGGAGGGGTGGCCACACCACAATCCCTTTCCTTCCATTCTACTCTGAGGATTTTGAGCACAAATGCACATGGACCTGGTGTGAGTTTCAAGCTGCCAGGTCTGGGACTCGAACCACAGTTGGCCGTGTCGAAGTCCAGTGACTTAACCACTGCACTATCTACTGACCCCAGGTAGATCTTTTCTATCTATATATATTTTTAAAACTTAACAATTTACTAAACAAGGAGATTACACATAAAATGGACATGGATATGAACTGGTTCCTTGTAGATGAGCTGGGTATATAAATTGAGATGTGGGCATATAAATGGGGTCTGGGCATGTAAATTGAGGTCTGTATAGAATATATATGGGCATATAAATTGAGATCTGGATTGCTATATTCCATGTCGAAAATTTATGTAGCTGATACTTAAACCAATTCATGTAATGATTTTGGCCAAGGAAATAATGGTGCATAGAACAGAGATTAGCTACAGTCTGATCTTCAGAGTAATGTATAGATGTAATATTAAGCTATTGATTGATTAAGTATGTAGTATTTTAGAGATAATGTAACTGAAGAACCACTAGCCCATATATAACCATGTGTATTTAACTGAGTAATGTAAGTGTATTTATGAATGATTTTGGAATCACTCCTTGCAGAAGACAGTACAATTATGAACCCATTAGTGTTAGATATGGATTTATGATTTCTGAATCTTCTACTGAAAACACTCATAGGAATTACCCTAATTGATTTCTGGCAGACTGAAATACCATTTGAGTGCCCCAGGCTAGGGTAGTATGGCAGTAAACTGCCTTCAGTCACAGCAATGGGCAAGGTTTGGAAACCAGTTGACATTTGAATGATCTAAACATGGGAAAAGGAAAATGGACCAGAAAGAATGACAGTTAATCACTTTTAATTATTGTTTATTGCATGGAAAAGTTTACATAAATAAATTAAAATATCTTGTAATATATAGAAAGGCAGAAACAGAAAAGAGAAATTTTAGTGAACTTATAAAATCTTTTTTCTTTTTGTTTTTAATAAGGCAACCTTATATATTTATCATTGTTCCCCATTTAATGATATCAAATTAGTGCAGCCAGGCTTTTGCACAGTATTTTTAAAAATCAAAATCTTTTCAGTATTTTGAATGCTGATTTACTTGAACCCATATTTATTTTTGAGCATATTTGAAAAAACAAGAGAACGTTGATGAATATAATTTTTTAAATATGTACTATCTATTAAAATGTGTAATTGCATTTGTGCAAACTCTACATGATAGTGGTTTTGCTCTTAATTTAGTTTATCTGAATTACTACATAAAAATGTCATTTCTTCTCTTTCTAGGTGTGATTGGGGTAGGCTACTACTGCATCCAGAGAGGTTTCTCAGAGGAAGTGAGAGATTCAGTGAGAAAATTGGTGCCCCTGACACGTCGCCTATGGCAGATGACCAAGATTAAAATGCTCCCTACCCCTGCAAAATTCCATTATGTGTTTAACCTTCGAGATATTTCTAGGATCTGGCAGGGCATGCTAAACACTACATCAGAGGTCATCAAGGAGCCAGATGTAAGTGATAACTAAGAGAGGAAAACAAAACATTGCTATTAATTATACATCCTAAATATTTTAATTTTTACTTCAATTATGAAACTATTTTGGAAAGTTTCAACATGAATATTCTTTACTTTGTGGCTTTTCAACTAAAATAAATAAGGAAAAAAATAAGTCAGAACATTTAAATTAAATTAGGTTTATGTTTAAGAAAATAGTATATGTAATTATTTTCTAATGACTAAAGTAAAAGAAATAATTGATTTTATTTTCCCATCACAACTTTATACTAAATAATGGAGACAATTTGGAGATTCTTCAAAAAAGTACAAATAGAACTACCATATGATCTAGCAATCCCACTCCTTGATGTCTACCCAAAGGACAGGAGAATACTTAATTGGAAAAGTGCTTCCACATTGATGTTTATTGTGGCACTATTCACAATTGCTAAGTCATGGAAACAACCCAAATGCCCACAAACAGATGAATGGATAGAAAAAATGTGGCACATAAACTCAATGGAATACTATTCAGCCATAAAAAAAAACAACAAAATCCTGGCTTTTGACAGGAAGTGGATGAATATGGAAGATTTACTGCTGAGTGAAGCAAGCCAGGCTATGAAGGAGAGACATTGTATATCCTCACTTAATATATACCGAGTGTCAGCACTCTGTGACTGAAACCAGTTGACTAAAGGGTACAGAAACACAGTATATAGATGTAAATACCAGAAATAGTGTGTGTGAAAGAGGAGGGTATGAGGAAGGACATTTAGAAGAAAAATAGGGAGACAAAGCATTAATGGCACAAAGGAATGTGGTATTATCTGTTGAAGATATTTTGTAGTTTTATCAACTGTACTAGGGAGCAATGTTCACCTGTTGAAATATCCATTTTGTAAGTCGAATAATAATGTGATTGAATGTATAAAAGAAAATGAAATGAAAAAATAAATTAAAAAAAAATCCTCAACTTTTAGTTACAACAAAGATCTTTAGGTATGAAAAGCAGCTCCATGAGTGGAGTCTTTCTGCCAAAGATCTTTCTGATATTCTGTGCACAAGTTCAGATTTACACTGGAAAACGACATGCTTATCTCAGAAAATGAGCTTCATTTTACAACGTCTGTACAATAACACTGTAAAACTGCTTACAAAACCAAACTTTGATGTAGAGCAACACTGTACTTCACAATTTATTCAACTTCTAAAGTAAATAGTACAAAAAAATTTGTAAAGAAGTATATCTTTTATGTTTTTTCTTTTTAAAATATTTAAAAAATTATGATTCCTGGTTTATGAAAAAATCATTGACAAGACATGCCAAGAACTTTGTCATATGCTTTTTAGTCATTTATTTGTCTTCCTTTTAAAGTGGTCTGCTCATGTCAGTTGCCTATTTTAAAACATTATTTTTATTAGGTTGTTATTTTATTTAATTAACTTTTGTGGGTGAACTGTTTGAGTTCTTTGTATATTCTGGTTGTCAATTCCTTATCTGAAGAATAGTTTACAAATACTTTTTCCTATTCTCTATGTTGTTCTTTTACTTTTTTATTGTTTCCTTTGCTGTGCAGAAGCTTTTTAGTCTAATGTAATCTCATTTCTCTATTTTGGATATTGCTGCCTGTGTTTTAGAGGTCTTATTTAAGAAATCTTTACCTACTTTGAGATATTGAGGTGTTTCGTCCTCATTTTCCTCTTTTAATTTTATAGTTTTTGCCTTAACATTCAAGTATTCAATCCATTTTGAGTTACTTTTTGTAAATGATGAGAAGTGGGGGTCTAGTTTATTTTTCTCAGGTGTTTTTCTAGTTTACCTAGCACCATTTATTGAAAAGGCTGCCTTTTCTCCGCTGTATTGTCTTGTGACTTTTATGGAAAATCAGTTGCTGAATTTATTTCTCTGTTCTGTTCTATTGGTCTATGTGTCTGTTTTTTGGGTCAGTATCATGCTGTTTTGATTATTATGGCTTTACAACATATTGTTAAGCCAGGTAGTGAGATGCCCCTGACTTAATTCTTTTTGCATAGTGTTATTTGGTGATATGGAGTCTTTAGTGGTTCCAGACACCTTTTGTAATTTCTTTTTTCAGTTTCTCTTAAGAAATAGAAATATCACTGGCACTTTGATAGGCATTTTATTGAATTTAAGAATCATTAGGGCAATATTGACATTTTAATCAAGTAGATTCTTTAGTTCATGAAAGAGGATGGCTTTTGGTTTTAAAATCCTTTTCCATTTTTCTGTTCAGTTTAAAAAAATAATTTTCCTCATAGAAATCTCTCACTTTCTTTGTTAGATTTATTATGAAGCATTCAATTATTTTTTTTTGTGGCTATCGAAAATATGATTCTTTTCTGTCCTAGGCTGTTCACTGTTAGTGTACAAACACATAACAGATTTTTGTATGTTGATTTTGTATCCTGTGACTTTACTAAATTTACCACCTCTAAGAGGTGGTTCTTTTTTTTTTGATTCTTCAGAATTTTCTATGTACATAGTCATGTCATCTGAAAACAGGGATAATTTAACTTCTGTCCATTTCAATGTGGATACTTCTATTTCATTTTCTTCTCTAATTGCATTTGCTAGGACTTAAAGTACTATGTTGTATATGAGAAGAGAAAGTGGTCATTCCGTCTTGTTCTAGTTCTAAGTGGAAAGTATTAACATTTTTCCCATTCAGTATTATGTTAGCTTACCATAGTTATGTTATTTTTTACTTATTTTTGAGAGTTTTTTACTATAGGGTGCGTGCACTTGCCAGAAAGACAGAGATAGAAAGCAAGAAATCACTCCCCAGGAGGGATGGCCACGCTGCAATCCATTCTCCTCCCTTCTCCTCTTGGGATCTTTTCCACTTACTAGAGAGAGACAGAACAAAAGGGAAAGTGAGAAATCATCCTCCAGAGAGGATGGTCACCTACTATTCCTTTTCCTCCATTCTCCTCAGGATTTTTGGCATACATGCACACTCTCCCAGCATAAATTTCAAGCTGCCAGATCACCCTGGGACGTGTGGGAGTCTAGTGACATACCCACTATGCTACCTGCCTGCTGGCCCTGGCAGTGTTATATTTTTTTCTTATCAGTAGTTTTAAGAATTTTAAAAAAATTTCTGTTGACATCTTTAGTAGTTTTGAAATTGTTCAGGGGCATGTTATTGAGTTTTCACATATTTGTGTTTACAAATATTCTTTTTTTTTGGTTTATTTTAAGTTTAATTCCATTGTGAACAGAAACTATTCTTGGTGTAACTTCTATTCATTTTAATCTGTACAGGCTTGTTTTGTACCATACAGTGTCATCAGTTTTAGAGAATAATCCATGAACAGCTGAGAAAAATGTATATTCTGTATGTATTTGGTGAAATGCTATATATGATCTGTCCCCTTTGGTTTATGATATTTAACTCCAGTGTCTCTGTAATTTCTGTCAAGATGACCTAGCCAGTGATGAAAGTGTGGTATTGAAATCCCCAGCAATTAACGTATTATACTCTAACCTTCCTTTCCATTCTAGCAGTCTTTAAATATTTGGATGCTCTGAGGTTGAGTGTATAAATATTTATAATTGTTAAATCTCAGTGGTGAGGCAATTACTTTAATACTGCGCAATGGCTTTCTTTCCCTCTATTTGCAGATTTTAGCTTGAGGTCTATTTTCTCTGATATTAGGATTGCTAACTTCTTTTTCTTTTCCTTTTTTTGGTTTCTATTTGCATGGAATGACTTTTCCAACCTTTTACTCTGAATCTGTGTATGTACTTTTTTTTTTTTTGAGAGTTTTTTTTGCTATAGGATGCCTGTGCTCTCCAGAAAGACAGAGACAGAGAGACAGAAAGCAAGAAATCACCCCCTGGGGAGATGGTCACCCTGCAATCCATTCTCCTCTTGGGATCTTGGGCACGCACGCACATGTGCCTGGCGTGAGTTTTGAGCCACTGGGTCCAGGACTTGAACTGCGGTCGACTACATGGGAGTCCAGTGACATAGCCATTATGCCAACTGCAGTCCCCACTCTGTGTAGTATTTACCAGTGATGCCTATTTCTTGTAAGCAGCATATAGAGGCCTCCTGTTTTATTATTCATTCATTCTATATCTTTTGAGTGAGGAATTTAATTTATTATCCTATTTAATAATATTATTGATATATATAGATTTATACTTGCCTATTTTTTTTTTTTTTTGGTCAGCTCCTGGTTGTTTTGTGTTTTTATTTTTTCTTTCCTTTTTTTCCTTCAGTTATTGTATATCTTTGCTATTTAGATGACTTTCATAGTGGTAGTAATTAAATAATTTCTGTTTCTTCTTTGTGTAGTTCATCTACTGGTGGGTTTTATACTGTCATGTAATTTCTTGGTGAAATTTATCTTTATTTCATCACCAAATATAGTACTTCCTTAAGTATTTCTTGAAACATCAGTGTAGCATTCTTGATGTCTTTCTGCTTTTATTCATCTAAGAATGACTTTATTTCTCTCTCCAATTTGAAGGGTATTTTTGCTAGGTGTAATATTCTTGGCTGAAAAAATTTTTAAATTTTTTTAGAGGTTTTTGCTATAGGGCGCGTGTGCTTGCCAGAAAAACAGAGAGAGATGGAGAGACAGAAAGCAAGAATCACCCCCCAGGGGGAATGGCCACACTGCAATCCCTTCTCCTCTATTCTCCTCTCAGAATCTTGGGCACGCACACACACACATGTGCCCGGTGTGAGTTTAAGCCACCAGGTCTGGGACTTGAGCCACAGTTTACTGCATGGGAGTCCAGCAACAGCCATTACAACAACTGCTGGTCCATTGGCTGAAATTTTTTATTTCAGAATTTTGAATATATCATTCCCTATTTCCTTCTGGCCTTTAAGATTTCTGTTGAAAGATCTGAAGTAAGTCTGATGGGATATTTTTAAATAGATTCTTGGCACTTTTATGTAGTCATTTTTAGGATTTTTCCTTTAACTTTTGACATTTTGACATAATATGCCTTGGAGTGGATCTTCTGTTGAATATTTAGTGTCCTCTGAATTTCCTGGATCTGGATGTCTGTATTGTTCATAAGATTTAGAAGGTTTTATACTACTATTTCATGAGATATTAATTTTCTAATATAATAATTTCTAGTAAGACTTAGTTTTCTAATTTGTAAAATATAGATTTTTCTTTGTCATTTTCTATCTTTGTGTTCTGAGATACTTTTTATGTGAATATTCAGTCATTACATGGCATCCCAAATTTCCTGTGTATTTTTCATTTTTTGTTGTCATTTTTTCTTTCTTTTGGATATTTTGGGTGGTCGAAACTCTGTGCCTTCAAGTTTTGGGAGTCTTTGTTTTACATGATCTTGATGCTTTCCATAGAATTTTAATTTCCTGTATTGTATTCTTTATCTCTTGGATTTCTGTTTAATTGTTTTTAAAATACCTCTCTCTCTACTAAACTCCTTAGACATATCATGGAATGCTTATCTCATCTCCTGGAAATGTTTGTGTATATTCTCTTGCATCTCACTGAGATTTTTTATGATCAATATTCTAAAATCTTTTTCATCACTTCTGTGCTTTCCTGCACTTTGTCCATCATTGGTGGGGTTAATGTCCTGGAGGCCGACCCAGAGCGCCCACAGCCTTCTGTGTCTTTCTCTTTCTCTCTAGTGAGTGTGTACTCCCTCTGGAAAATTAAAAACAAACAAACAAACAAAAAAACCTTTGGTCAAAATATGTCTGAGTAATTATTATTATATACCTTGTTTGGCTAGGAGATTGGTGTTAGATGCTTCCTGATAGCTATCTTGGGCCCATTCCTGTTGATTTATTTTATATAATAATCTTCATATTTTGTGCCTGACATTTTAGCTTAAAAAATCTTTATAGGTAAACATTCAAAATTAAAAGAAAGTATTTTGGGAGCCAATAGGTGGTGTTGTGGTTAAGGCACTGGACTCTCATATGGCTGACCAAATTTCAAATCCCAGACCTTATGGGTACATGTGTGTTCAAAATCCCAAGAGAAAAATGGATCAGAAGGGATTACAGTGTGGCCATCTTGCTTGAGGGGTGATTTCTCACTTTCCCTCTGTCTCTCTCTGTCTCTTCTTGGTGAGTTCAAATGTCTTATGGCAAAAACCTAAAAAAAAAAAAAAAAAAATAAAGGGGTATTTTGTTGTTAATCACCCATGCTTTTTCCTTTCCAGGTAATGATGTACTAAAAGAGTTCTGTGTGTTGGTAAAATTGGAGACAGCAAAGCAAAACGTTCATTTAATATAAAAAAAATGAGCATTTGGACATACATTTGAATAGGACAGTTCCCAGTGTTACAAAATTTCTCTTCAAACATAGAATGTTATGTAAAAATCTGGTGTATCAGTTTTTCCCCAAAGCATGGCCTGTGTAGTCAGATTAAGGCAGGATATCTTCTCTCAGCTCTCTGGGGCTGAGGAGGTAGTTAAGCAAATGGATTTTAGGGGACTTCCACACATAAACAGGCAAAGGCAGCTGAAATATCAACAAATCTGTTGTTAAATACATCAGATGTCGACTATCAAAAACAAAACAAAACAAAACACCCCACACTTCCGTTCCAGATGCTCACAAAAATAGGTAACTGCGCTTTCTGACTCTCAAAGACTAGGGGTTTTGGAGAACACTTGCTTTCCTTATTATAGATTATTGACAATCAATTTAGCAGCAGTGAACTTAAAAAAAAAAAAAGGCCTGAGGGTAAGTGTGCATGTGAGAAAGAGAAAGAGAGAGTGGGAGAGAGAGGAAGACAGAGAGAAAGAGGGGGAGAGAGAAAGAATGCATCCCCCAATGGGGCCTAGTCATGCCACAGTTGCTTCTCCATCCCCTCAGGCTCCTGGTGTGTTGTTCACACTTCTAGGCTGAGATTCAAACTGCAATTGGCCCTGTGGGATCTGGCTTACTCTGCCGGGCTAAACTACTGCACTATGGGGCTGGCCCAACACTGCTTTTTGTTTTGCTTTTTAGAATTTTCTGTAGGGTGAGTGTGTTCACCAGGGAGACACAGAAAGAGAGGGAAAGTAAGGAGTCACCCCCAAGGATATGGCTATGTAGTATGTTACTAAGCTAAGAAATTTCCATCAGTTGCTCATATAAAATAATGAGCTTAGAGGAACATTTGTTATTCTAACTTGGGAACAGGAGTGTTTGGCCATTAGATTTCCTCAACTGTCTGTTAATTTTGGGCCTTGGATGTTCTGCTTTGTTTAAATAGGGAAGATTTCTGCTTTGAATTTCTTTCATTTGGGTTAAGCAAATATACTTTTATAATATCTCACTTGTATACATCAACATGCAGTCAGTTTAAGACAGCAATTAAGGCATCCATTATTATTTAATTAGTTTTTAAATTTATTTTTTTGTTGTTCCATGAGTGAGAGATACAGAAATAGAGACAGAGACAGCCACTCCCAGTAGGATTCTGACGCTATGATCCATACACAGTTTCAGTCAGCTCTTGATCATGGCAACATAAGTGCTCAGAGTACTCAGGAGGGTCTATGGACATGAACCCAGAAACTTTTGATGTGATCGATTTCACAAAGCATCGTGTTTTACTGCTGTACCACTGTCTGGCCCTCTCTGCTATACTTCATATTATGCTTTGGCAACTTAATGTGAATGTATTATTTTAAAAAAAAAAGACTAATTTGGGCCAACAGGTGGCAGAATGGTTAAGATGCTGGACTCCTATGCGGCCAACCACAATTTGAGTCCCAGACCTGGCAGCTTGAAACTTATGCTGGCCACGTGTGTGTGTGTGTGTGTGTGTTTGTGTGTGTGTGTGCATGCACGCGTGTATGTGTGTGTGTATGCAAAATGCTGAGAGGAGAATGGAGGAGAAGATATTGCAGTGTGGCCAGCCCCCCTGGGGTGGTGACTTCTCACTTTCCCTCTCTCTGTCTCTTATGAGTACATGTGCCCTGCGGCAAAAACTCTTAAAGACTATCACAAAATTAAGACTTTTACATAAAATATTAGTTTGTTGGTTGATCAGGGTAATTTTTAATAATTTTGTCTAGAGATGTTTTCTTTTCAATTTAGAGACCACAGATGAATAGACTTTGCTTTCTATTTAATATGATTGAATGAGACCAAGCTGAAGTGAAGTTGAGCATCTTTTCACTAACTTTGCAAAATGTGGCATCTTAAATCAGGAAGGATGAACTCTACAATATTGTCAACTCGAATCCCCAATTATGGTATAATAAGGATTAATAGCACATTTTAATTATGCTCTCAACAGGAACTGCTGAAGCTGTGGAAGCACGAATGTAAACGTGTCATAGCTGATCGTTTCACGGTGTCCGATGATGTGACCTGGTTTGATAAGGCTTTAGTAAGTCTTGTAGAGGAGGAGTTTGGTGAAGATAAAAAACTCTTGGTGGATTGTGGAACTGATGCTTATTTTGTGGATTTCTTGAGAGATGCACCTGAAGCTACAGGTAAATGATTAAAGCAGAATTTGAAAATCCCTAAAAGAGAGGGTTTTTTTTTTTTTTTTTTTTTACAGAGGCCATGTGTGCTCACCAGAGAGAAAAAGGAGAGAGAGAGAGAGAGAGAGAGAGAGAGGAAAAAAGCCCTCTGAGGGAGTGTGATCATGCCCCAAGTCTTTTTTCTGTTTCTCTATTCTGTCAGGGTCCTGGGCATATGTTTATGTGCCCAGCATGTTTATCAAGCTGCCAACCTGGATCTGAATTGTGGTTGGCTATGTGAGTTCTGATTCTCCACACACAGGGCTTAATTACTGTGCTATAGGACTGACTCCCTCCCCTAAAGGGAGATCTGAAAACAGAAGGTTCAGTCTAGGGATGTTGAGTTTCTATCCAGTGAACTTTACTGAAACAAGTCCGGGCACAGTAAGTGCTAGGAAGTCCAGAATGAGTGGATAGGTGTAGTCATGGAGCTTGAAGACCGTCAATTTTATGCATTTTGTGATCGGATGTGCAGGTAGCATAGGAGGCGGGATGGGGCAGAGAAAGTGGCCAGGACTTGTAGTTTGTCAGACAAAAGTAAGTTAAAGGATTGGATCTACCACATGTTGGCTGGACATCTCTGAACTTTCTTGAGCCTCATTCTCCTCAATTATAAAAACGAAAATATGAATATATGCATTATGGGTTCTCTGGGGAATAAATGAAATGTTATCTGTAGAATGGCTTAGGTAGACTTTGACCCATAGTCACTGCGGAATGAGAGATAAAAATAAGGATAATAATTATTATTCAGATCACCCTCAATGTTGAAAATTAAAATAAAAATCTCAAATTAAATGAGAGGGCCACTGAATATAATTGGAAAGATATGGGTGATAAGGAGACAAGCTTTTGTGGTTGTGGTTCCAAGAAAAATTGACATGTATTACTCTTCTTATGAAGAGACACTGCTCCAGTTGTTTTCCCTTCGAAATAACTGGGCTTAAGTTGAATATATATATATATATATATATATATATATATATACACACACACACACACAACACACACACACACACACCCCACAGGTGGCATGGTGGTTAAAGGCTCTGGACATCCCACATAGCCAACCACGGTTTGAGTCTCAGGCCTGGTGGCTTGCTTTCTTACTTCCCCTCTTTCACTCTCTGTCTCTGTGTCTTTCTGATCAAATTAAAATAAATAAATAAATAAAATGAATGAATAAATAAAATTAAATAAATAATTCTTTAAAAAAGAAAAAAAGACATATTTGGAAACATATCTTCTAAATGATTGTGAATGGCCAGCTAGGCTGTCACCAGATTTGATGATATGTGTGTGCTGCCAATAGTATCTGAGCACTCCTTGCTGTCTGTGCAGTTAGAACACTCCTTCTGCAGAAAAACGTGATACATTTTATTTTAGATCACAGCAAGCATACAAAAATCCTGTAAGGATAAGGGCATTACACAAGGTAATTAAAATTATGTATTATGCATTTTATTTCCTGTTAATGCAGAAGGATAAATAATTAGCATATGGTTTTTAAGGATCACCACTCCTGCATTCTGGGAGTGGGAGCAGTATCTGGAAGCAAACACATAACCTTTTTTAAAAAAAAAATTGAAGAATTATGTATTTAATGTTAGTTATTACTGTTATTTTTAAATTTGATCAGAGAGAGAGAGAGAGAGAGAGAGAGATGGAAAGTCAGAAAGCAAGTTGCCAGGTCTGAGACTTGAACCATGTGAGCCATGTGAGAGTCCAGTGCCCCCAACAACATGCCACCCGCTGGTGCCAAAACATATAACCTTTTGTGACTTCAAAGCACTTTATCCCTCAAAGCTTGAATCAAGCATTTATGAGAGTGTTGTGACTCTTGAAATTGATCAGTGATAGCACTGTAAATATGCCAGTCTTCATGATTATGTTAAATCAATTTCTTTGCTTTGTCTACAAAAGGCTAATATGATAATTAAGAGAAGGCCAATTGAAAATAATTATTTATTGAAAGTAATAAGGTACTGTAAAATTTGGAAGACCCACTCACTCTTCCAGTACCCAGTGGATTGCTAAGTTGTTATTGATATATTTGACTAACATGTCACTTATTTCCTGTTACTTATGTTAACTGATAATGAATTTATATGTCCCTAATTTAACTTTTTCTTTAAGAGAAATTTTTGCTATAAGGCGTGTGTGCACACTGGAGAGACAGAGAGAGAAAGAAAGTGAGAAATCACCCGCTGGGGTGATGGGCACACTGGAATCCCTTCTCCATTCTCGGGATTTTGGGCATGCAGGCTCATGTGCCTGACATAAGTTTAAGCCACTGGGTCTGGGACTCTAACCACAGTCAACTAGGTGGGAATCCAGCAATGTAACCATTATGCCATCTATTGGCCCCAACTTTTTTGACATTATGCTTTGTTAATTCACATTGGAAAAGGGTTAAGCCTGCTTATTATATATTCTTACTTACAAAAACAGATGTGCTGATTTTAATACATCTTTTCCCAATGACATAACTCAGTGTGGTTATTTATTTAGGAAATTATTTTTCTATTCCCCCCTCCAACTGTCCACCCCCATTCCCTAAAATTTACTTCTGTCCTCACCCCTAACCTGAAATTTCTAAATTATATAAATGAGAAATGACCTCATTCTTTTTATTTTTGACCTCCCTTAATGCTACATTCCTACTTTTATAACTCTCACTTTAACCATTAAGCTAGTATCTCTGGGACAGTCTTTGAAATGCCAACATTCGACTATTGCTTCAAATGAAATGAATGCAACGCTATTTAAAATCAGCTCTTTCTAGACAGGAAAAAACTAAAATGGCATGTGATCACAGCATTCCTAAGGCTTCAACTATTGTTTGCTTTCTTCTTTATTCCAAAATGGTATTTTTTGAAAAATGGTATTTATATGGTATTTTGATGAAAATCAGTATTTTTTCCATTGTTAAATGTCACAGCGATGAGTGTATGAATTTAGATGGAAGGAAATAGTACAGTCCAGAGATTTGAAGAAACTTAATTGATTCTTTCCCACCAAAGGTGAACCATCCGAGGAGGCTGATGCTGACATGCCCAAAATTTACGAGCCCATTGAATCTTTTAATCATCTAAAGGAGCGTTTAAACATGTTCCTGCAGCTTTATAACGAGAGCGTCCGCGGTGCCGGCATGGACCTCGTGTTCTTTGCAGATGCGATGGTTCACTTAGTCAAGGTACAGTAGCCACGCCGGGTAGCGCCTTGCTGAAGTGACAGACACTTGGCTTCACACCAGAATTCACCTCCCCACCCCCGCTTTCATCCCCTAGGAGAATATTCAGTTTAAAAATAAACTCAATGCTATCCTCCAATTTAATTTCCAAACTGAATGCAACATGTCACACTTTATAGGCTTAAAATAAGAGCCTGTGTACTTCCAATGTGTGATGTGATAATTTTATTCAGTGTTGCTACACAGCTTCTAGCTTGATGCTTTTACCACGTAGGATGAATATGGTTGACATCTGAGTTCAAAGCACAAAGTCTGCTTATTTTCATATCATTCAAAGAATCTCACTATATAATATAATGTATAAGCCTTGAGGACATGATGCTAAGTGAAATAAGCCAGACCCCAAAGGGTAAATACTGCATCGTTTCACTTATCTGAAGTACCTAGAGTCGTCAGGAGTCAGAGACAGAAAATAGAATGGGGGTTTTCAGGGGCTGTGTGGAGAGGGGAATGAGGAGTTAGTATGGAAAGGGTACAGTTTTTGTTTTGCTAGCCACCTGGAGGTGGCTGCAGGTGATCCTTGCACAAACAATATGAATGTACTTAAGGCTGTTGAACTGTTTCCTTAAAAATAGTTATGATGGTAAACTTTCTTATGTTTATTTTTTCATGATTAAGCATATTAATTTAAAAACCAGTGCATAAACAGTTGACTTCTAGCTGATGAAATATCTGTTAGAATGAAATCCACCAGAAAAGTACACTTTCTATTTTACTTTGAAGTAGGAGTCACTATAGTATCTATTTTTAGGACAGTTGATCATTAAAGGTTGGAAGTAAAATACATTATTTTACTTGAGAACTTATGGAACCTAATTTATCGATGGTACAAGATGATGCTATTAAAAATCGATTGCTGATCTTGATCTTCTCCCTCTGTGGACATCATTTACCTTTCAGACTAGATCCTTTCAGTCAGAAAGAAGGCAATTCGAAGCTGTCTTCCATTCTTTGGGTTAAACCATGAGGAACGATCTTATAATTACGAATTGTCACCTCTAATAATTACTGAGCTTAGAAACGGAGACCATTTTAAAGCTTATCCAGTGAACCATCCCTCAGAAAATGAGAGATTGCTTGGCTGCTCTTTTTCTCTGCAGGAGTGTGAGGCGAGCATTCCAGCAAGACTAGAGTAAGCTGGGGTGGGAGGAAGACAGAGAGGCTGCCCGGGTCTTGTCTCCCCAGTAGCAGGGTGTTTCTCTTGGTGATTCTATGAATTATCAAAAGCAAAGACATCTATACTGAAGTATGAGAACAAATGTTTTTTCAAAGCCAAATATACATAACATTTTGAAATTAGCTCGTAATTGATAGTTAATTAAGAATTAAGGTTTTCAGGAAGAATAGATATTCTATCAAATTTAATAATGAAAGGGAAGAGAAAAAAGAGTTTCAATTTTTTTTACTTGCCAGAAGGTGCCATGTGTCCACACGAGAGAGAGAGACAGAGAGAATGAGAGAGAGAAAAGGCACCCACAGTGGAACGAGGCCCTCTCACAATCTCTTCTCTTCCATTTCTCCATCTACTGGGATTTGGGGCATGCATGCAAACATGCCTGGCATGGTTTTCAAGGTACTAGACCTGAGATTGGAATTGTGGAATCCAGCTCTTTTAAATACTAAGCCTTTGGATTACCAACCCCCCCAAAAAGAACAAAAGCATTTTCTTTTTTTATGTGTGTAATACCAAGGGCAACTGTATGGCAGAATGTCTGCCAGAAACATACTCTGATTGATCTGAGATTTCCTAACAACTCGCATTGAAGGTGAGGTTATTTATGTTAGTCTTCTGCTAGAGCATGTTTGCTGGAATGAATGGACTTTTTTCTCCCGAGTTTCACAGCACAGACCACAGGGTCCTAGACTCTAGCCTGTCTGTTGTGGAATTGAGGAAAGAATCTGTCTGGAGTTTTTGAGCTAAACTGCTGCAATTCTCACATTTTCTGGGCTGACCCTCTCTCCTACCTTTCTCTTTCCTGTGCAGTCAGTATGTGTTGTGCGGGTATGAACCTTGAAATCTGTGCCCAAGTTAGAAGACATGATAGAAACTAGGAAACAGAATTGGAGGCAAAAACTGCAGTGAAACAGAAAGTGATATGAGAACAAGTATTTCTTAGTTCCTTTCTTAATTAAAGTAAATGGCTTTCTTTCAACAGAGTATATTTCTTTTGTCTCATTGGTGAAAGTTCCAACTGCAGTATACATGATTTCCGTGGCCAAGACTTTGCCCACCACTCAGCCTTGTGGGTCATACTCTGCCTATTGGGCAATGCGGAAAAATGTACCGCTAATGGTAAAACGTATTTTGATCCTGGAATATCAGACCCATATGCATTCCCAGCTTGTACTGCATTGTATAGTTTATCAGTATCTGTGTCTGCCCTACCACAAACGAGCTCTGTGAGGGAGGGTGCCCCGCCTTCACCAGATGGACTACTGCCAAGACAGTCACACAGGATACCCTTGACAATTGTCTAGAATTTAGCCGGCTCCCCAGGCTGGCATCCCCTTTGCTTCCTTATTTCCTTTTATTTGCATAGAACCTACTGCAGACCGCGCCCTTAGAGAGACATGGCAGGACTCTTACTGGCCTTGAGAGTTTGTGTGCGCCCACACTTAAGACTTGCCTCACCCAGGCGGTGACACTTCCTTGGTTTCCTGTTGTTGTCACCATCCCAGTCTCTGTTCCAAGGTTCATCATGGCCTAGTCTTTCCTCCACTACAATGCAAGCACTCACGGCACAGGGTGGACATTGTTCATTTAAATATATATATATATATATTTTTTTTGAGAGAGAGTTTTTTTACTATAGGATATGTGTGCTCACTGTAGGAGAGATACAAAGTGAGAAATCACCCCTGAGGGGACTGGCCACACCACAATCCCTTCTCTTTTATTCTCCTCTTGGGATTTTGAGCATGCACACAAGCTCCCGGCATGAGTTTGAAGCGGTCCCATCCGGGACTCGGATGGCGGTTGACTATGTGGGAGTCCAGCAACATAACCATTATGCTATCTGCTGGTCCTAGACATTGTTAATTTTAAGATACTTGCTGAAGGAATTAAAAAACAGATAGTTCTAGCTCATGATTTTATATTATAGGACAGAAAAGTTCTTTTGAGGGTTTTTTTTTGACCGTGTTTTCTCCCATAAGCTCTAAATTTAACTAGGGTTATGGTGTTTTGAGTTTTTTTTTTTTTTTAAGGCCTTCTATTTGTTCATGTATTTGTTTATTTGTCAAGTATCTTTTGAGAGGTTAGCATGAGCCAGAAACTGAGAGTGAAAAAATTTAACATAAGACCTTTGCTCATTTCTAGGTGAAGATATTGGGATGAGGAGTATTTAATAGCCAATAAAATTTACATAAGCCCCCTCATTTATTCACCCACATCGAAGAAAGGACATGGTTATGGTTGAAAAGTACCAACCAAGGAAAGGCACAGGTTTTAGTATGGCTTCCTATAGCTCCCCACCTGCTGGTCTCACCTCCATGTTGTGTTAAGGGAAGATATAAAGAGACACATGCCATCCTTTCCACCCACAGTGAGGATCACACAGCAGGGATGAGGAGGAGGCTGGGAAGACAGGATTTAAGCACACATCTGCCCTCAGGTTCTCAGTTCCACACTAAGAAGGAAAATAGTCTCTTTTTTTTGGGTTCACATGAAGAAGGAGAAATAATACAAATCCTGGGGGCATTACCAACAGGAATAGAACATAGGTCATAGAGGGAATCCTGAGAATGAGTGTTGATAAAATCTTGGCAGGATTCAGAGCCCAGGGCAACTCCTCTCGGCGTTAGCGGAGAAGTACCCCTTTCTCAGCCTCTGCCATTCATTTAAGAACATTGGGATTGCAGCTATACCTCAGGCTCTAACTGCAGTTTGGAGGAAATGAGAAATTGTTCTAACATAGGCCTAGCTGCTGTGGCTCAGCAGTAACATGAGTGCCCTGCAAGGCTGGAGGCTATGAGTTCAGATCCTTGAGCTGGCCTGAAAACATGCCAGGTGCTTGTGTGGACATCTAAGTTCTTGAGGAGCTAGAACCTTGGGGGAAGGAGATTGTGATGCGATGAGTCCCTTTCGAGGGTACCTCCCCCCCTCCGCGCATGCACATGTTCTCTGTCATAAACAAACAAACAAAACACTGAAAAGGAAATGGCTGTCACATAGGTGAAAAGAACATCTAAGAGAATTGTACGCTGAATCCTCTAGGTGGGGCTGAAAGCCTGGTGCTGTAAGTAGTTCATGCAACATCAGGAAAGCCAAATACACTTGGCCTTCTCCCATGACGGGGGCTGGGAGAGTCTGGCATAGAGTGAACTTCTGACAGGTGGCCTATAATCACTTCTTGGTGGATTTGGTAAATTCCTTAGGTATTACCATCTTTGCTAAATAATAGAATGATGCTTAGCTTCATTTTATTTTATTTTATTTTATTTTATTTTATTTTATTTCTTTCAATATTCTTTCTTTTCCTCTTCTTTTTTTTTGTGGTAAGATTTCCATCCATACCCTTACTTAGGGATTTAAACTCTGATCTTTTAATTAACTGCATGTTCTGTGTTCCAAGAATAGATGTTGTTCTGACATTTCTATTCTCTTCCCTATCACACTATGTAAGATTGGGCAAACTGAAAGGGAATCTCAAACTCCCCTTTGTTTATCTCATTTAGAATAGAATGAGCCACAGTCTGGGCTGTGTGCCGACTTTCTTGTGTCAGGGCCCCCATAGTCCCTAAAAGCACACCCCACAGCCCCTAGCTTGTCCGAAGAATCCCATATAGAAATTTCTGTTCTATTTCAGAAATGCTCTCAGTCCTCCAATTGGTATATCTTTTCCGTCTGATCAGACACCTCTGTCTTCAGAAAAGATTATTTGGTCTTATTCTTATAGTGAATAGAAAAAAATGGAGTATTTACATGTTGAGATATATATGTCTGTTCTATTCCATATTATAGATCTCTCGCATCATTCGTACTCCTCGAGGAAATGCCCTCCTGGTCGGAGTGGGTGGATCAGGAAAGCAGAGCCTGACAAGGTTGGCTTCATTCATTGCTGGCTACACTTCCTTCCAGATCACTCTGACAAGGTAACAAACTTTTACTTTAGCCTGAAATGGATTTTGATAAAAGGTGCTCAGAGGCCGCTTGAAGTTAAGAATGCATTTTTCTTATACATAAAGAATCATAGTGGTTTTCCTTCTTGAATGTACACTTATCATCTTCCCTTTTCAACCTCTGTCATAACCGTGGGGATTTCACATTAATAATTTGCTTTAGAAACACTCCATTCTCTCGTTTAGTGAGCAGCCGTCACTCCGTTTTGATGTTATAGATGGTATGAGTGTTGTGCGCACTTCTTTTGTGGCATTCCAGAAGACACTGAGCCCTGCTAAGTATTAATTTGGAATTCAAAAATGTCAATACAGGGGAAAAATAGATGAGACACAGATATGGTTTTACTCATTTATACATTTCAAAATATGTATTGAACACTGACTGTGTGTCAGGCCCTGCTGAGGTGGGTAAGGTAAACCTAGCCTGTGTCCTCAGGGACCTTTCAGTGACTTAAGGGAAACAGGCAGCTGAGTAACCCACTCAGTAAGGTGTGTTTTCTAGATGCAAATCTATAGGGAGGCAAAGGCAGATCAGATCCTGTTGAAGCATGAGGGAGGGGCTTCTAACCTAGTCTAGGGGATGATCAAAAAAGGCTTCCTGATGGAAGTATTGTTTAAACTGAGACCTGAATATGTGTTGGAATTATCTCAGATAGCAGAAGTAAAGGATGTGCTTCAGCACACATGGAGTCACATGCAAGTCCTGGAGGAAGTTAATATGGCTGGGTATACAGTACATGGGGGGCAAGTGGGTAGGGAAGAGAAATGGAGGCCTTACAAGGTATGGGAAGGCATTGGGACTTCATCCAAGAGCAGCAGGAAAGTGTTGATGAGTTACCACCAGGGAGGACACGCCAGATTTGTATGCACAAAAGAGGGATGGAAGGAACTAACTGAAATACTAACAAGGCTATCTCAGGGGTCTGGGAAAAATAGGATGGTGTCATGAGTGGTAGCAGTGAGACAGGAGAAGGCAATTCAAGAGATTGTTAGGAAGTGGGAGCTTTTTGGACTTGATGCATCCTGAGTTTTGGCTTGGGAAACTAGAGAGATGGTTTTGCTACTCATCAAGGTGGGGAACTTAAGGAGCCGACCTTCGGTATGTGTATGCGGTGCAGGGAGAAAACAGGATTAGTCAGGGAGAAGTGAACATGAAGAGATAAGCAGGGGTGAGTCAGAGAGGTTAAACAGAATTTCAGGATTATGGTTAGAGCAGGAGGCTAGTTAGGCAGGAAGTTCTGCCTATTGGCCATTGATGGGCAAAACAAGTCACTGACCTGTCTCACAGAGGAAACCCACAGACACCTGCCTAGACAAGGGCTAACTGTTATCAACCTCTAGGTTTGGAGATCTAGATAGTCAAGGTGTTATTGTGACACTGTTGTACTTTATGTTTCATCTGAATTAGGGATCTTCTTAGACAGTACATCCAAAAATTATAATTGTATTTACATGCCAGGAGAGAGGAAAAATAATTCTCATTACCTCACAAATAATTATTCTAGCTTGTGGAGAAGCAAAGTTAGACAAATGATAACCTGTAGGAGAAGACATTCGACTCTAAGATATTTGCTCCTAACACTTGTATAAAATCTGATAGTTTTCAGAGTACTTTCATATACATAAGATAATTTGATTTCCAAAACAACTTTACGGGTCATAGGGCAGATAGCCATAGCCCATCTAGGAACTGAAGCTCAGCTGTGGGTTGTCTGACATTCCAGATCTGGCTGGAAATCTGTTGCATGATTTTTGGTTTCTAGTCTGATGTGACCTCCTGCATCACATTGCTTTATGTGATAGGTAAACATACCCTGTGGCAACCCTCACTGTGGTAGATAAGTTCCTCTCTGTCTGTCATACCAGGAATGATTCATAACTGATGAAAAGGACGGATGAAGTCTTCCTTTTTTTTTTTTTTTGGAGAGGTTTTTGCTATAGGGTGCGCGCGCTTGCCAGACAGACAGAGAGAAACAGACAGAAAGTGAGAAATCACCCCCCAGGGGGATGGCCACGCTGCAATCCCTTCTCCTCCATTCTCCTCTTGGGATCTTGGGCACGCACGCACACGCGCCCGGCATGAGTTTTAAGCCACCGGGTCCGGGACTTGAACTGCAGTCGACTACGTGGGAGTCCAGCGACATAGCCATTACGCTGACCGCTGGTCCCAAGTCTTCCTTTTCATAGCCTTCAAGAAATGGTTTTACTCCTCATGCCTTTGCATAGTCATGTGGCCAAGGTTGAGATACAAGAGCCTCACACATGGGAAACATAACCATTTGTTAAATGTGTCAGATCATGTTATCAGAGGTAGTGTGTCCTTGAGATCAGGAGGACTGGGCTGAAAGTTTTCCTCATATTACCAGAGGCTGGGTGAGATGTTTCCCTTTGTGCTTTTTTTTTTTTTTTTTTTTTTTCTTTTTCTTTTTAAGGGAGACTGACTTTGAAATACTTTTCTGATCTCTTAGCTCTCATTTTTGAGAAATCTCCTAGAAATACCAATGCATGGGAACCAGCAGTTAGCGTAATGACTATGTCGCTGGACTCCCACGTAGTCGACCATGGTTCGCGTCCCAGACCCGGTGGCTTAAAACTCACACCGGGCGCGTGTGCGTGTGTGCCCAAGATCCCGAGAGGAGAATGGAGGAGAAAGGATTGTGGCGTGGCCATCCCCCCTGGGGGGTGATTTCTCGCTTTCTGTCTCTCTGTCTGGCGAGTGCACGCACCCTATAGCGAAACCCACTCCCCCCCAAAAAAAGAAATATCAATGCATGGTTGTAGTAGCCCTAATTCTAGATTTTAGGTTAAAAAAAAAAAAGACAGTATAGAAGTGAAATATTTAATAGATTTAAAAAAATCAGACACTTATTTTCTCTTGTCCTCTAAATTCTGAGTTTATTTAATGATACCAATATAAGTAATAATTTTGTAAGTCTGGGTCTCCAGGATTGGAATATCTTCACTTTTACTCTTGGTGGGCTACTCTGTATTGGAACCTCTCTCACATTTACTGGGCTGACTTTAACCTAAAGATTATTTTTGGTAGTGAAAGAAGGTTTAGAATGGGATATTTTATAATGTTTCCAGTAGCCCAGTGATTTCATAAAACTCTTTTATGAATCCAAATATGCCACAGAATAATAGCAACAATGAAGGGAGGAGGAGGGCACCGTTTGTAATAGGGCATCCCCTCACCCCATAGAGTCAAAGCCTGAACCGGATTTAGTTGAGTTTAGCTTAATTTATGAGATGTCTTCTAAAATACCAGATGGAGATGTGTGCTTAGTAAATATTTGATTTAACATTTTTATTACCATTGCCAACAAATATTTTAAAAATAATTCATATACACATTTAAATGACAGTTGTAAAAATTGTATTTGTACATGTATGTGTATAAAAGCATTAATTATAATGTTTTATGAAATATGGAGTTTAAACATCAACTAACCAGTAAGTTTATATGCAAACCTATATGATGTAATAAAGCCAGCATTTATAGGGGGTTAGCAAAATGTCATACAGCATTGTAGCAAGGTTCTTTCCTTCCTATGAAACTATTTTAGTTAATGACATAATGGCAATATTTCTTTAGATCCTACAACACATCCAATCTGATGGAAGATCTAAAGGTTTTGTATAGAACAGCCGGTCAGCAAGGAAAAGGAATCACTTTTGTTTTCACAGATAATGAGATTAAAGATGAGTCATTTTTGGAATATATGAACAACGTTTTATCATCGGGTGAGGTAGGAGAACTCTTATTTCTCACATGCTTTTTCTCTTCTGATTTTCTCCTACTTAAAGCCCTCTGTTTCTTTCCATTAGAATATAAGAGGTGTTGGGAATTAGAGACTCAGCTTAAAGAAGGGCATTTCCTCCTGGGCTTTTGAAGAATAAAACTTTCAATCGAAATGTGAAGTTAATCATTGAGAACATCAGTGAATGTCCCAAGTGACAAAGGAAAAAAAGAATAGAGAAATGAGAAGGAAAACGAATTTGAATGTATGTTTGTTTACTCTCTTTCAGGGCTAAGACATTGCAGTTCTTGATAGAATTGCCTGGTAATTTAAAAATGTTCTGAGGCCAGCAGGTTTTGTGGTAGTTAAGGTGCTGGACTCCCACATAGTGACTGTGGTTTGAGTCCTGGGCCTGGCAGCTTGCTTTCTTTCTGTCTCTTTCTCTCACCTTCTTATGTGCCCTATAGCAAATTAAAATAATAATAAAAGTAGTAGTAGTAAATTAAAAAATAAATAATTCTCTAGAAAAACACAGTGTGTTTCATCTTGAAAACTTTCAGTCCATTTTCAAAGGTGAGTTTAAGAATGTGAGTGGAAGATCGACATAGTGTACATAGCAAGCTATAGATTTTGATTTGTTTTATACATATATACTGAATTTGAATGCCCCCTACTGCTTTTTAAGGTCTCTAACCTATTTGCTCGTGATGAAATTGATGAAATTATTAGTGACCTGATGTCAGTCATGAAAAAAGAATACCCCCGGCGCCCTCCCACCAACGAGAACCTCTACGACTACTTTATGGGCCGCGTCCGGCAGCACCTTCACACTGTGCTCTGCTTTTCACCCGTCGGGGAGAAATTTCGAAATCGCGCTTTGAAGTTCCCCGCCCTTATTTCTGGATGCACTATTGACTGGTTCAGCCGATGGCCTAAGGACGCCTTAGTTGCTGGTTAGTATGGCGGGAAGATTTCTGGCAGCGTTTCGGGTGTGTGGTGTCTGTGTGCTGATTTGCCCTCAGTGCCATTTGGTGTCTTGGGCTTGGGCTGAGCCTACTCACTTTGACGTTTGAAGATTTTTGTTACAATATAGTTCTCTCATATTTGGAGGCTTATTTTTCCTGGAGTGTGGTTATTAGAGAATGGTATCTGCAATCTGGACCTTGGTCTAACGCTCAGGGATGCCGGAAGGCTTTGCCTTAGCTGGAGTAGCAGTGGGGACACCACAGGTAAGCACTGAGGACGTAATCTCATGGGCAGTGTTTGTGTTCTTAAGTGAGTTTGTCAACCCTAGACGAGTTAGAGCCCTGTGTCTCTTGGATATTTCCTTCCCATGGCTACGGTGCTGGAAACCAAAGAGAAGGGCACTACCCACCAGTTCTCTGCTGGTTCTGTTTTCGACCAAGAACGTAATGGGAGTTTCCTCTGAGCGGGCTCCTTGCTGCTCTCTGCTTCTGTCTGATCTTCTGTCCCAGCCAACATTACTGCGTCTTACTCTGTAAATGAAACTGGAATATTAGAGTTGTACAGGAGAGGGTAGAGAGCATACATTTAGTTTATGGCTTTTTATGGCTTTTGGTAAGAAATTATCCATAATATTTTAAAAGATGCAGATACTCAGGTCTCATCCCTCATCTGTTGTATCAGAACACCAGGGAGCCCTGTTTCAAAGTAGTGGCTTTCTTCTTTTTGAGAGTTTTTTGCTATAGGGAGTGTTTGTTCTCCAGAAAGACAGAGAGAGACAAAGAGACAGAAAGCGAGAAATCACCCCCCAGGGGGGATGGCCATGCCACAATCCCTTCTCCTCCATTCTCCTCTCGGGATCTTGGGCATGCATGCACATGCGCCCAGCATGAATTTAAGCCACTGGGTCTGGAAATCCAACAATAGTCAACCACATGAGAGTCCAGCGACATAGCCATACACCAACTGCTCATCCCAGTAGTGGCTTTCAAACTTTGACTATATTATTTTAAACAGAAACATAAGCCTTATTTTCCAGGAGTACCTGATAGATAGCCCTAACAGGTAAAACGGTAAAGTGGAGGAGAGGAAAGGGTGTTCTGGACCCTTCTTCCCTTCCCCCGAAGCCTCCTGCCTTACCACTACCTCCACAGCGGTGTGTGACCTCGTCTGGGAGGACAGATGAACCTGTCTCCGTAGAGATGGAGAAAGTGGAGAGAGTGGAGCGGAGGGAATTGTCAGAGGTGGGAGGAACCAGTAGGAGTGATACTGGGGCTGGAACCCATGTTTGCTTATCTGTCTGTCTGTCTATCTATCAATCATCTATTTATCTAGTTATCAATTTATATATCTATCTAGTTAGCTAGCTATCATTTATCTAATCTAGTTATCTCTCTGCTTATCTAGCTATCATCTATGTATCTAGTTATCTAGCATCTATCAATTATTATCTATTATTTATGTTACATATCTATCATCTATCTACCTTTCTAGTTATCTAGCTATTATCTTTTATCTATCCATTATCCATCTACTCATCTGTTTTTTTTTTTTTTTTTTTTTTTTCATGAAAACCCTTACACATTAAGGAAGAGTGTTCTCCCAGTGTACTGCTACTGACAAGGATAGTTTTCCAGTCTGTGATTTTTAAACACAGAATATTTTAATGTGTTTGAAGCATACTTTTTTTATCTTATGAAGTCTTTGTCTTATAAATAAAAGACCAGTGATTTAAAATTTTAAGTCCCATAAAAATGTAAATAAAGCTAGAGGTAAGATGTTATATTTCCTTAAAGTAGGATATACATGCAGAGCACAAAACAATAGTATTTCAGAGCTACATTAAAGTTTACTAAGAAATATGATAATTACTCTGCAAGTTCTTTGTATGATATCCAGTAAGGTTTCCTGGTTAACAATAAAAATAATTTCAGGTGACAAAAATACCGCAGTAGAGGATAGCAAAGATGACTTAATTTAAGTAGAGAGCTCTTCCTGCCAAATCTCTATTTTAGCCATCCTCTCTATTATAAGACAGATCTCTCACTGATATTTTTTTGGTTAATTTTTTGCTTATCTGTCTCATTCTTTCAAGTCGACTCAAGTCAAGATTATACAGAGGGCAGGAACCTTTCATTTCTCTGCTCTCAGTTCCCAGCTAGTATTCTGGGCTTCATGCAGAATTCATGTTTTCATTTATTGAAAACATTTTTATTGAGCTTCAGGTCATTTGTTGAGCCACAAACATTTCAGGGCAAGACAGCCTTGTTTCTTTTACTTATTTACTTTTTTTTTTTTTTTGTAAAGGGCACATATGCTCATTAGAGAGAGACAGAGAGAGGACACACCCTCCCCATGGTGCAAGGTCATGCTGCAATCCTTTGTTTTCCATCTCTCCCTCCTTTAAGAGTTTTGGGCATGCACAGATGTATGCCTGGCACAGTTCTCGAGCCACCAGGTCCAGGACTCCAGCTGTGCATCTGGCTGTGTGGAATCAGTTACCTTATACACCAGGCCATGGAGCCAGCCCCCAGACTTAATTTCTTTATTCCAGATTTGCTCCTTCAGAAAGCTCACCCTTAGCCTTCTATATAATGTGCCCCATTAATTTGATCTACAGTCTGGTCTATCCCTGGATTGAAATCTATGCGCGCAACCGACTGCTTGATCCATTATCAAATTTCATAGGCTCCTTAAATTCAAAATGTCTGAAACTGACTGGCTCTTCTCTGCTCTCTCTTCCCCCCTTTCGCCAGGGAAGTGCCACCGTAGTTCATCCAACTAGGCAGTCAGAGACCTCTGTCTTTCACACCCGTTATACCTTCAGCTCTCAAGCCCCATCCATCCCCAGAACATCGACCACCTCCTAAATAATTGGTGGAATCCAGCTTTTCCCTTTCACTGACATCCTACACCAAGCCCTCACAGTTGCTCACCTGGAAACCCAAATTGCTTTCTGATGATCTCTCTCCCTCTTTCACCTGTCTCCTATTCATCTCACTTCACAGACAGGATAATGGTAAAAATACAAATCCAGTCACATTGTTTTCTGCTTCAAGCCTCCCATGCCTTCTCATTGCTCCTAGGAAAAAGAGCATGATCCTTAGCATGGCCTTGAAAGCTGGGAAGAGCTGGCTCCACCTACCTCCCCAGCCTCCCCTGAGGTTCCTTTTCCCTTCTGCTTTGTTGTCCTGGCTCTGAATGTACCATTTTTCTCCCCATGCAATGCCCTCCTCTCATTGCTCCCTGCACTCTCCTCCCTCTGGGTCACACTGGCTCAACTGGCTGTCACCTCTTCAGGAAACCCTTCCTGTGCTTCTTTTCTCTGTGCCTCCACTAAACCAGGGCACTTGTTACCTGCCTCCTGGCAGATAGCACTTTTCCTTCTTCGAATTAGTCATAGTTTATGATGCATGCTCCTAGTTGGATGATATAGTTAATTAATTATTTTTAAAAAAGAATTATTTATTTAATTTTATTTGTTATTGTTATTTTTTAATTTGACCAGAGAGAGAGAGAGAAAAAGGGAAAGTGAGAAAGCAAGCTACCAGGTCCAGGACTTGAACTGTGTTCGGCCATATGAGAGTCCAGCACCTTAACCACCATGCTACCTGCCAGCCCCAGATATATTTAATTATGGCTTATCTCTCCTACTAGGCTAAAAACTTCATGAGGTCAAGGACTACATACCTTTTGTTCACAACTTGAGCAGCTACTTGTATCTGATGCTTACAGTCTTGAATGAATCAGCTGAGTTAAAATTCATACTTTCATGATATGGCCCCAACTCCAGTGCAGTTTTTCTGTAACATAACACAACTTTTTCTTTTTTCCTTCAGATTTACCACTTTGTCCTCTGAATATGCTTTAATCACCCTTATCTTCCCACACAGGTCTCCCATACCAAGAATGTCCTTCCTCATGCTCTTTGTTCATCCAAGTTCCCAAACTTAATCACCTCCTTCAGTCCCACTCTGTTCACTTAGGAATACTTAAAATTTCCCTTCTTCTCGAACTTCCTGTAACATGTGTACTTTCTATAATGCATCTGACTGTTTCAATCTTTTTAAACCTTTGGATAACCAGTGAGGTTTTGTAGTTACGTCACCAATTTGGCCTAGTATGTCTATACAGTCTGCATACTATACATACATTTAGGAGAGTGTTAGCCACAGTAATGGGTAAAATAATGATAAGACATAAGATACTGCACTTTTCTTTAATAGATATAAAATCTTCTGGGGAAAGCCTACATGTATACAGCCACTACTAATCTCCTTTGTGTTATTTTGAGAGTACCATCTGTAGGTTTTGAAACTGCTTAATTGTTTTGTTTTTGTTATTTTAGAAAATGAACAATAGGATTTCTTTTTTTCTTTTTCTTTTTTCTTTTTTGAGAGGTTTTTTGCTATAGGGCATGTGCGCTTGCCAGAAAGGCACGGAGAGACAGAAAGTGAGAAATCACCCCTGGGGTGAGGGGAAGGGCCACACTGCAATCCCTTCTCCATTCTCCTCTCGGAATCTTGGGGCACACACGCATGCGTGCACCTGACATGAGTTTTAGCCACCGGGTCCAGGACTGGAACCTCGGTCGACTACATGGGAGTCCAGCAACATAGCCATTATGCCATCTGCTGGTCCCAACAACAGGATTTCTAGAAAACTACTTAAGTATGCCAATTCTGAGTTAAATTATCACCTCCATATCAACCAGGAAATATATCAATTTCTAATTTGCATATTTAGATTACAAGAAATATTTCTGGACTGGCCCCATGGGCTAGTGGTTAAAGGAGCCAAATCCCACATGACTGACTGGTTTGAATCTTGACTCCAGTCTCCTGAAAAGGCAACATGCCTGGTTGTGTATGGGCATGCCTCAAATCACAACAGGATAGAGAAATGGAGAAAGGATTGTGGCATGGCCATATCTCATTAGGGGCTGCTTTGTCTCTCTCTCTCTCTCTTTCTCTTTTTCTGATGAGTACCTATGTGCCTTCTGGCAATTAAAAAAGAAGAAATAATCCCAGTTAAATAAAAATATTAATTTATTTGTGTGCTTTTCTGATTTATCGAGGTTCATAAAGTGAATACCAGATTTTTAGTATTTTTATAAACTATAGCGCTTTTGAAAAAAAAAGATTTTTTTATAGTATGAATTTAAACAGATTGAATCTCTTTAATGAAACATTTAAAGACAACGATGCTTTATTTTATGTTGTAAAATACTGAAAGGTGGGCCCGCTGCTGGGGTTGCTGCCTTGGTGGTTGGATGTTGAAGATGACAAAGGGTTTTCTATGGTCCCTTGATTAAGACTCAGCAGGTGTGGGTCACCCTAATAGGGATCGTTATGACCCTTTATATAACCTTTCTTGCACCAGAGCTTGTGTCTCTAAGGAAGGATGTACTTAAAATCCATTCCATTTTTATTCTCTTTGACTTTTTGGAGAGACAAAAAGATAGCTTGCTACATAAAGAAAAAGGTCACTATTATTGACACTCTCTGTTCATAGGAAGAAAAAAATCATTTTCAGAAACTGGGAAAGTTCCCTGAGAGCATTGCATAATGCCAGGTAAAACCCTTGGTGTCATGTCTGGTGCATGGTAAATATTGCACCCATTGTGGTTAACAGCTACAAAAAAATTCATAGGTAAGAACTGTTATTAAATTTCCAGTGCCCAGAATTTAACTTCTTGGAATTTGAACTGTTCTTTATAATGTCTGCTGAAGTTACATGAGTAAACATGACTTCAGAATCTTAATATGTTGCTTTAGAGGGTGTGGTAAACTATATATGTAATCAAGCTGATGAATCATCACTATTATTTACACAGATCTAAATACTACCCCGCAGTATCAGCATTAGGAACTTAATTTAGGGGGGTCAGCAGGTGGCATGGTAGTTAAAGTGCTGGACTCCCACATGGCCAACCATGATTCGTCATGGACTTAGTGGCTTGAAGATCATTCTGGGCACATCTGCATGGATGCCCCAAATCCCAGAAGAATGGTAGAAGGGACTGTGGCATGGCCATCTCTCCTAGAGGATGATTTCTTCCTTTTCCTCTCATTGTCTCTCTCTCTGTTAGTCTCTGGGAAGCACACATGCCCTGTAGCAGAAATCTTTAAAAAATAGAATTTAGTGCTCAACCACTAATTGTGAGCACTGAAGACACATTTTTGTGTCTTAGCTAACTATCCCCTGTGAGATTTGATCACTTGACTCCTCTTCCCCTCTGAGTTTTATCAGTCATGTTTCTATTTATAGCTCTTATCTACTTAGGTTATTTCTTCTAAGATACCTAAAAAGGTTCGTAATAATTTTTATCTGGATAATGCAGAACCTTTATAAATCCCCTGGGGTTGAGACCGAATTTCATATTCCTCTTTTGTTCCATGGCACCCATTGCATAGTGGATATGTGTAGGCGTTCGATATACACATGGTGATTGACTAGCTCTGATGCTGGGTCTGTTCCTACAGTGTGAAATGTCATCTTAGAGTCGGTCCCTTGGTTGGTACTGTGGGAAAAGGGAAGGTCTCTAGAGGAAATTTTTATACAAACATGTCTGAAGGATGCTGTGAATTAGAACTGACCACAAATGACTAGCTGCCACATTAAAGAATAAGATGACCCGGGCATAAAAAAATTTAGCAATGAACATTTCCACCTGCCAAATTCAATCAGAGCCTGGGGGAATGAAGGGCATGGCAGGTTCTGAATAAAAAAATAAATGGGATTGTTAAATATGAGTACCAGGTGGGCACTGATTTCTGAGCTATTTGTACCACTTTTATCCTTATGTAAACCATAAACCAGGCTGGCGGCCGACCAGAACCTGCAGCTGTGTAGAGGAGATTTCTTTGCACAAGCACCAGCAAACAAAGAGTGATGATACACTTAAAGTTTTTATAGTTTTAGACCTGAAAGGGAAAATTAAATTGTTGATGTTGTGTGTGTGGGCCCAAAAATGCTGACATGGATCTAACCTAGCTGGGGCTCCAGAAATAGTATGCATTCATGAGAAATGAAGTCTTAACCAGTGAAATTTTAAAACGGTAATTTATATTACTATGTCACATGCGGCCATCTTTATTTTTTCTAGTGTCTGAGCACTTCCTCTCTTCCTATGAGATTGACTGCAGTTTGGAAACCAAGGAGAAGGTGGTTCAGTGCATGGGCTCCTTCCAGGATGGGGTCGCTGAAAAGTGTGTTGATTATTTCCAGAGATTCCGACGTTCCACCCACGTGACACCCAAATCGTACCTTTCCTTTATTCAGGGTTATAAGTTCATCTATGGTGAAAAGCATGAGGAAGTACAGACACTGGCCAACAGGTAAGGATGAAGTTCAAGTTTGAAGATATGCTAAAGCAGCTGGGTCTCAATCAGGGTTGACATTTGTCTACCTGGTAGACATTTTTCAAAGAGTGGAGACATTTTCATTTGTCACAGCCGGGGCAGTAGGACAGGGGAGGGCTATTATTGGCTCATCATGGATAGAGGCCAGGACCACTGTGGGACGTCTGACAGTGCACAGGGCAAAGAATTACCCAACCCAAAGTGTCGACCAGGCAGTTTGAGAAGCCCTGCTCTGTTGCCCAGTAGGACTGATTGTTGCAAGGATTTTATGTGGTCTGTCTCTTTCTATGACATTGAATGACATAATGATGGAATGGGTAGACCTGGAAAGAGTTGAGAATGCAGACACACCTCCTCCCTGCTGGCCCCTCATGTCCCACCCTCCTCCAAATGAGGTAGATTCATGTGCCTGCTGCATGGTGACTATCCTGCTTGACTGAATTTAACTTCAAACTTCACTTCTCTGTGCCTTTCTTTTCTTTTTTATAAGAGAGAGAATGAGAGAGAGCAAGCGAAAGGGTGAGGAAATAAATTGTATTTTTGACAGGGTCGAACCATACTGCAGTCCCCCAGACCAGTCTCCTAATTAGCCAGGGTTACAGGCTTGTGCCACTGCACCCACCCTGTTTAGGTTGATCTGGGAACTGAAGCTAGGTCTCCCATGTGGCTCCAGATTCAGGCAGTGGTGCCCTATTGCTTGTGTCACACACCGTGGCTTTTTTCTGAACATGCACAGCTTCTTAATATGGCCAGAATCAGTAAGGGCTGCTATATAAGGGAGGTTGATTTAAATGACTCTGAGGACTCCCAACTTTAAAAACTTTTTAAAAAGCTTATTCATTTATTTCTTCTATCTCTGTGTGTCTATGTGTGTGTGTGTGTGTGTGTATGTGAGAGAGAGAGAGAGAGAGAGGGCGGGAGGGAAAGAGAGGAGAGTGACTGTTACCTCCATCAGAGGCCCAGTGCTGCTATCCATTCCCAGCTCCAGCTAGTCCCTGATCACGGGCAGGGCTTTGCAGGCAGCGTTCAGTGCAGTCTCTGGGTGTCAACTTTGAATACTCCTATGTGGGTCAGCCTCTCAGAGTGTTTTGTTATTGTATCACTGTCTGACTCCAGGGCTCCCATACTAAGATTACATTATTTCAAGGTTCAGGCAGGCAGCTGTTTTCTTCCTGAAGTTGTTCTGAAGTTGTTAAATGCAGTTGCTTTTCTTGAGACCAAATCTTTCTTCTTTTAACTTCCCATTGGTCTCCTTTGGAAAGAGAAATTTTGTATATTCTTTTCTCCATGATAGAGCTTCAAGCATTTGAAGTCTATTGTGATTTAGTGAATGTCATTACAGGTGTTTCCTGCATGATGCAAAATCTAGTTGTTCTCAGTGGGTTCCCTCTTTCCACACATGGTCTTTGAAGAACACACACAAGTTGGAAGTCTGGAGTCAAGCCTGGACTTACATCCTTTCTGTCAAGCACTCTTGAACGTTCTGTAAAGTCTTTTCACAAGCAAAATGAGAAATAGTGATTGACTGTTTTGAAAAATAATTAGAATAATAATAATGATTGGGAAAAACATTGAAAACATACATATTCGTTCTTCAAGTGATCATTACTCCTCATATTGGTGGACTAGAAATGGGAAAATGTGGCCAAGTATTTGGACAGAAATTTTAACATTGCTCACTTGGGTTTTCCATCTCAGAATGAATACTGGCTTGGAAAAGCTAAAAGAAGCTTCAGAATCTGTTGCTGCTCTGAGCAAAGAACTGGAGGTAAAAGAAAAGGAACTGCAAGTGGCCAACGATAAGGCGGACACGGTGGGTGGATCTCGCTTACACGTGTGCCATCTGCCTTTGAATTTCCAGTTTGCAAATGTTGGTGATAGTACTTTATAACTGTGGGAGTATAAAATGTCTATTTCCATTAGAATAAAGTAGTCTTGCTTTACTGGATAAGTGGGCAAAAATCAACAAGATAAGGCAAAAATGTGCATTTTAAGCTGGGCTTTTTTATAGTTTTTGATGAGGCATTTTTTTGTTTGTTTGTTTCATGTGGAATTAGGTCCTGAAAGAAGTGACCATGAAAGCACAGGCTGCTGAAAAGGTCAAGGCTGAAGTGCAGAAGGTGAAGGACAAAGCTGAGGCCATTGTAGACAGCATCTCTAAAGATAAAGCCATTGCTGAAGAGAAACTAGAGGCTGCAAAACCAGCATTAGAAGAAGCAGAGGCAGCCTTGCAGGTAAATCTGCATAGCATATCAGATGCCAGCCTCAGAGGGGGATTAAAGCAAAAACAATGAATAACAAGGAAGTTCTTTGCTGGCTCACACCAAAGCTCTACCCATTGGAATTATTCAATTTTTTTTTAATAAGAAAAGAAATGTTATTATTATTTTATTACATAATCTATTAGTGAATACACCACATGGGATTTTCTTAAATGACAAATGAGGCATGTTTCTGAGTCCTCTGAGAACATCTTTCTTTTAAAAAGTCTTATCTATCTATCTATTTATTATTTATTTAGGTTTTTGCCACAGGGTGCATATGGCCACAGGAGAGAGACAGAGAGACAGAGAGAGGAAAAGTGAGAAATCACCCCCCAGGGGGATGACCATATTGCAATCCCTTCTCCTCTATTCTCCTCTTGGGATTTTGGGCATGCATACACATGCACTCAGTATAAATCTGAATCTGTCAGGCCTGGGATGCTAACAGAAGTCAGTCATGGGGAAGTCTGGTGCCTTAACCACCCTGCCAACTGTTGGCCCCTCAAGGAGGATTTTCTAATTGGAGACTTTATTACCACCTGCTATTTAACACCTCATTTTTCTCATAAATGAGAGCAGTGTCATGCGCAGTGGCCAAGAGTCCCAGGTTTTCATTTCAAATCTGTTATCATTAATATGTGATACTTGAGAAAGTCACATAAACATTCTAAGGTAACATTTCCTCACTTACTAGTTAAGGACTTTGGAGTAGGTCATCTGTAAGATATAGATCTGGGTCCACCTATGAATTATCTAAGTCAAGAATGACTGATCTAATGTAGCTTATCAATGACATAATTTGAGCAGACTTACAATATAGTTAACAGTGTCGGGCACGTGTGCATGTGTACTCAAAATCCTGAGAAGACAGGATTGTAGTGTGGCCATGTTCGAGGGTTGGTCTCTCCCTTTCTCTCTCTCTTGCTCTATGTCTTTCTCTGGTGAATACCACATGCCCTATTGCAAATTTAAAAGAGGGAAAGAAAGAGAAAAGAAAATGTGATGGCTTCAGCGAACTAAGCCAACCTTAAAGGGCTGGTCCAGCTTTGAGGACTCAAGTCATACCATGGGAGTGAGAAATTGTCCCCCAGAGGAGATGGCTACCCTGCAATCCATTTTCCTTCATTCTCCTCCTGAGATTTTGGGTGTGCACACACATACTCAGCATGAGTTTCAAGCTGCCAGATTGGGGACTTGAGCCTTGGTCAACCATGTGGGAATCAAGCACCTTAGGCACTATGCCACCTGCTGGCCCCCCTGAAAATTCTTTTTAAAGCTAAAGTAAAATAAGCCTATCTAGTCCTTACATCTTTTTTTGGGAGGGGGGGAGGTTTTCGCTATAGGGTGCGTGCACTCGCCAGACAGAGACAGAAAACGAGAAATCACCCCCCAGGGGGGATGGTCACACCGCAATCCCTTCTCCTCCATTGTCCTCTTGGGATCTTGGGCACACACGCACACATGCCCAGCGTGAGTTTTAAGCCACCGGATCTGGGACACGAACCGCGGTCGACTACGTGGGAGTCCAGCGACATAGCCATTACGCTAACTGCTGCTTCCCAAGTCCTTACATCTTATATTACTTTAATTTGTTCATAGTTTCTACACTGACTGCTATTCTATTTTTCTCCTTTCTTTCATAGCCACACACATCAAATAAATGTCTACCTGCGATTTCTAGTTTTTAACCTAAATTCTCCTTAATGTATAGCTGTCCAGCTTTCACAAATGCTAGTATATTGAAAAAAAATTTTCCAAGATATAGATTTACACTCCTGATTTACCCAATACAGTGTTTTGTTATTGTTGTTTTAGTTTTAAAAATATCATTAGCTTTGATGAGAAGTCATTGGTTATCTTTTGAAAATTTTAATTGCCAGAGGGCACATGCACTATCCAGAGAGAGAATGAAAGAGAGAGAGAGAGACAACAGGCCCCAGTGGGTGTGGTCATGCTGCCGCCTCCTTTCCTCCATTTCTCCGTCTTGCCAGGGTTTTAGGTATGCACATGTGCCTCGTGTGTTTTTCAAGCCACCCAAATCATTATTCAAACCACAGTCAGCCATGTGGAATCTGGTTCTCCTTGCACAACATTAAACGCTGTGCTGTGGGATCGGCCCACTTACTTTATTTTTGTAATAATTTTCATCGTACTTTTTGATTGACATAGTATGGTTGTATGTGGGATCTGGCTGCCTTAACTGCTATGCTAGGGGCCGGCCTTAGATAATTGTTCTACTGCCATTGCGTATAGGAGACCACATACCAGTTACATTGCTGTGCCTACAGAGAAAAGAGAAATTTAATTGTTAGCTGAAAGAGACTGAGTTTTAGATCTGTCCCTTTGCTGACCAATTCCTTTTTCTTGGGTACCTAATGTAACTGAGCATTGTGGGAGATAGCTTGGTTTTCAAAATATGTATAAAGTGGGTATCAGAAGATGGGAAGGGGAGAAGGATAGGAGTGATACCGAGAATGTAATTAACAGGTACGAGAGGGCTCGTAAACAGTGGGGTGGGTTACAGAGTACTGTCGCACAGATAAGAAAGTGGGGATAATTTACTATATACATCAATAACCAGAAGAGTGAATTTCAAATGACCACCTTCTTTGAGAGGAGGTGCAAATGCAAACACAATAGAAGGTTTTCAACACTTGGAAGAAAATGAATATATATTATTTACCTTTTGTCCCAGAAATAAGAAAATGGTACTAGTTTTTTAAAAAATATTTTAGAGATTTTTACTAGAGGGCACATGTGCTTGTTGGAGAGACAAAGAGAGGTGGAGAGAGAAAAAGTAAGAAATCACCCTCCGGGGGCATGGCCACACTGCAATCCTTTCTCCTCTTGGGATTTTGGGCACTCACATATACAACTCTAGTGTGAGTTTCAAGCCTCCAGGTCTAGGACTTGAACCTTGGTCAGTCATGTGGGAGTCCAGCACCTTAGCCACTACACTACCTGCTGCCCCTTATATTAGCATTTTTTGTTTTTGGTTTTCAGTGGCTAGTAAAAAGTTTACTTTCCAAGGGGAGGAACGGGGTCAGACGCAGAGAACTGCATCAGCCCCAAAGGGGTGAAAGTTTAGTAATTTGTTTCTTGAGAAAGAGAAAGAGGGAGACCCCCAGAGTGTCTTTACACCACAGATTCCCCCCAGTCTCAGCCAGCCTGGATTATGGGTGTGTGCCTATACTCCTGGTAATTATTGCACTATGGGGCCAGTACCAGGCTCTTAAGCTTAACATTTTCCAGTACTTATTCCATAAAGAGTTTAGGCAATAGAACAATTACTACCAACCAAAATGTGTCTCGTGACTATTAAATAGTTTCCTCCATAAGGATAGCTGTTTTAGAAATGGAATGGAACTTTTCTGAGAGGCAGCTTAGTGAAATTCACATTGTTTGAGTTCCCTCATTTAGAGGTCAGTTCCCAGCTATGAAACCTCTAATTATTCAATCTGTCAGCCCTGCAGCTCCCCTCTAGTGCCAGTCCACCGTGACAAGTCTGAATTGTTTAAGAGGGAGCGACAGATCCTTGACCTACATCACTAATGAGTAAAAGAGCGCTGCAAATACTGTATCTTTCCTGGTTTCAAACCCCGGATACCTCCTGAAGTGCTGAATACTCTTTTTTTTAGATAGTACTGTTACTTTTTCTGACACAAAGCGGTCTGCAGAGTTTTAGAGAAGTCACAGCTCCTTATCTGCTTGCCAACATTTCTCTCCTCTTGCTGTCAGTTTGAAAAGTTAAAATGTGAGCATTTGAGGACACTGTTTCTTTGGGGTAAATATGCACCTAAACCCCACGCCTCTGCATCTAACTTCAGCCTGTGTGCTTTCTCTGCCGAAACTGCAGCCCTTAGACAGGAAGGGTTTGTCTGCTCTTGTCTGAGGTTGGATGATCTCCTCCTTTCGTCCCCAGACCATCAAGCCTTCTGACATTGCGACTGTCCGCACGCTGGGGCGACCCCCTCACCTCATCATGCGGATCATGGATTGTGTGCTGTTGCTGTTTCAAAGAAAAGTCAATGCAGTGAAAATTGACCTGGAAAAAAGCTGTACCATCCCATCCTGGCAGGAGTCCTTAAAACTGATGACAGCAGGGAACTTTTTACAGAACTTACAGGTTGGTAGTTCAGTAATGACGGGCTAAGCGGGGACTCGGTCTTCACGGTGACATCAAAGTCCTGTCATAGAGTAAGTTTCTCAGAAAGGATTTACATGCACATTCGAACATGTACTCAGACTTTTTCTTTCAGAGCACAATTTGCTCTTTCAAATATAAGACATGTCATGCTTCTCCTACCTGGTTATAGGTGTATTAAAGCATCATCAATGACATGCATATTTTAGTAAAACTAAAAAAATAATTTTAAGAAGACAAGGTATTTGCATTTATGCTATATGCATATGAATATGCACAATGCATATCTATTTTGAAAATCTCAATGATTTTTGAGTATTGATTTCCATCATTTTTATTATAATAGAACAATTGTAATAAAATACATAAATTTTGGACTAGAGGGAAATGTTCACATACTGGAATATTCACTTTGTAAGCTAAATAATGTGCTTGAATGTATAAAATAAAATAAAACAAATAAAATAAAAAATACATATATTTTAATTGTATGGCTTGAGGAACATGTGCTACCCATATACCTATTAATGGACTCTGAAAGCAAATATATATTTCCAGATCTCAGAAATCTCCCGTGTCCCAACCCGGTTAATAACCACCCTTATGATAATAATTATTCTGACCTTAATCCTCCTAATGAATTTTGCTGGTTTTGAAATTCACATGTGGAGGGAGGCCCCATGCATTGAGCTCTCCTCCCCTTCCTTCTGCCCTCGCTCCCTGAGACCTGGCTGCTGGTCCAGCTGGGCCTTGTGACTATCCCATGACCGTGTCCTTACCTCACTGAATTGGCTCACAGCTAAGACTGTCTAGGGTTATGCACCTCCTCACATTAACATCCCAGGATCAGAGGCACTAAATTAATGAACAAGCTCTGGTGATTCTCCTAGTTGATAACTAGACCTTTGATTGTAATCTTCAACAATGTGTATGTAGGAACCAGACCCTGGCCTTGGAGGCAGGGATTCTTTGCAGATCTCGTAGGTGTGTATGTATTCTTTAATCTTAATGTGTACAACCTGAGCCTGTGCTCAATGATGGTGCTGGCCATTCTCCGCCCAGCTGCTGTCCTGCTCATGCAAATAATAAACTCACATCTTCTCCTGCTGGACCTCCGAGTGTGTTCTTTGGGATCAGTAAACATTATGGGTGAGCCCTCTCAGATTTAGAGTTCCCCTAGTTCAACTTTCATCAAATCTTATCATAGAAACTCTTTTGTTTTGATCTCTTTCATCCAACATGCCTGTGAGATTCATTCTTATTGTTGCAAGGGGCAATATTCTGTTCTTTTTTCATTACTAGGTAGTATGTCTTTCCTACGTATGAAGATGTAATGGTGTGTGGTAGATGTTTAACAACTGGCTCTTGCAGGATAGTGCCAAAAAGTATTCAGAAATGGTTGTGTGGGTTTCCATACCCACCAACTCCACATGCTCTACGTTTTCTACTTTTGAGCTCTCCTCATGGGTTTGTAGTGTCTTATTATTTTGAGTTTAATTGCATTTCCCTGATGATGACAGCTGCTGAAAACCTTTTCAAAGGTTTATGAGCCTCTTGGGAATTCTTCTGTTAAGTGCCTGTTGGGTTCTCTTGTCCATTTAACTTTTTTTGATTCCTTTGTAGAATTTCTTTATATATAAAATATGACAACTTATCACTTACATGTTTGCAAATATCTTTTGCTGCTTTCTAGTTTAGTTGTTCACTCTGTTAATGGAGTCTTTTGATAAGCAGATGTTATTAGGTTTAATGCAGTCAAACTAATAAATATTTTACTTAGTAGTGTTTCTGTTTAGGAGATCTTTGGCCACCTCTAATGTAGAATAAATTCTTCTGTTTTCTTTCTTTCTTTCTTTCTTTTCTTTTTTTTCTTTTTTCTTTTTTATCTTTTTGGTTATACGGCACATACATTTTCTGGAGAGAGACTGAGGGACAAAAAGTGAGAAATCACCCTCCAGTGGGGATGGCTATGATGTAATCCCTTCTCCTCTGTTCTCCTCTTGGGATTTTGGGCATGCACACAGATGTGCCTGCCATGTCCAGGACTCCAAACCACACAGATGGTCATATGGGATCCCACTCCCTTAACCTCGATACCCCCTGCTGTCCCGTTTTCTTCTAGTAGTTTTATCATTCATATTTATATCTTGAGACAACTGGGTAGGAATACTGATCCACATCCATTTCTAAGCTGTAACTCTAGCACTGTGTTTCATGAAGTTTTCTGTTCAGCATTGCTCAAGTTGCTGCTGTGGCTAGCACATTATGTGAGGTACCTCACAGAGCCTGTAACTATATCTAGTTTAGAAGCCTAGGGGGCCATGCAGTCTTATGCTGAATAATTATGAGACCCTATGACACGAAATTGGACTTTGAGAGGAGTCCTAGCAAGTGACTGGCAGGTCCTTGCCTATTCACCTAAGGACTGAGCCACTGCTCTTAGAAGCCCCCTTGCTGTTTGTCTTTTGTCCTATTGCCTTCCTGTCGCTCTCAGACATTCCTTGGTCTTTTCTTCTGGCTTCATGGTTTTTATAAAAGAAACTTACCTTACATTAAGGAATGTCTTAAATGAGAGTGTATTTTACTCTCCGTTATGTGTGATCTGTGAAGTCTTGTTTCACTGAATTATTTAGGTATTAAATTTCTTCCTACTTGTAAAACACTTAATCACCTCCTGTAGATGATCAAATATCACCTTTGAAAGGTCCACTTCCATTGTTTGGCCAATCTTCCCCTTTTGAGGCAGGAAGGCATCCTTAATCCATTGCTGCTACTATTTTAAAATTTTATTTCTCCAGAAGATAATAATTCTCTCATATTCTTGATAGTTCAATGATTAAAAATTAATTCATCACCCTTTGGACCTAATGTCCAAGTTATTATCTTCGCATTTCAGGGGAATTTATGATTAAAAATTAATTCATCACCCTCGGGGCCTACTGGCCAAGTTATTATCTTCGCATTTCAGGGGAATTTAATAGCACCGCTGTCTAAATGCATTAAGCACTAAGTTGTTGGTAAGTGCTAAATATATATGTCCTAGGCTGAATATTCCTGTGTATTTGTTTTTCACTGTTGACTTTATAGTTCTGTAATTCACTTATTTAGAATTAGTGACAAGATATTTTTATTGCTTTGGAAATTCTAAGAACCATATTAGTGTACATCATCTAAATTGTTTATTCTTTCCCTGTACCTGAGTATATTTATTTAGGGTTTGTATCTCTTATTTACAGAAGACAAAGTGTACTTTAAGAGGGTCTTTTACCTTTGTTCCTTATTGTGCTTCTAGCTTTAGAACTTTTGTCTAATATCCCGAAATATTGGCGATGTCCATCATTCATCCATTTTCTGGTTGTTTAATAGTTTCAGTGGCACTGAGTGCATAATGTATGACTTAATCTTCTTCTTTTCCACAGCAATTCCCCAAAGACACAATCAACGAAGAGGTGATAGAGTTTTTAAATCCTTACTTTGAAATGGCTGACTATAACATCGAAACTGCTAAACGTGTGTGTGGGAATGTCGCTGGTCTTTGTTCCTGGACAAAAGCCATGGCTTCCTTCTTCTCTATAAACAAAGAGGTGCTGCCCCTAAAGGTAAGCCTCCAGGTAGAATGGTGAGAAATGTGATTGAGGGGGTCTCTGGGTCAACTGGTCTTGCCTTTTCTCAGTAGCTGAGAAGCCTTTGGCCTCTGATGTTATTGTACTTGGGCCCACAGGAAGGCAAGTTTTAGAAGGGCTGAGCACAGGATGTTTCCCTCTTTTATGTAATCCCACGCCAATCAGAATTGGATGAGCCTCTAAGATGGACTCCCTACAAAGATACTAAGTCCATCATGGGCTGCTGGATATTTTTCCTCCACAATGTTAACTTAAAAAAAAGAATAGAAAACTGTAGCACAAAATCTCTTCACAATGTTCGAGAGCTCCAGCTGGTTAATCCTATGAGTAAGGGTCAAGACATAAAAAATACCCAGAGCTGGTCTTGGCTGTGAGGTATGGCATTAGAGTTCTCCCTCCCCTCTCAGTTCCTCAGAAAAACATCTGAAAATCATAAATTTCAGCCTCATTATAATGAGATCTTTCCTTGAAAATTTTATAAACATGAGTGAATGTCCATATAAACAGGACATTTTAAAGAATAAGACCTTGAAATTGATAAGGATAATAACAATAACAACACCTATTATTTATTGAACTATTTTTGCATTCTAGGAACTAGACTTGAGTTTTTACATATATTATTTAATCCTCACAAAACAATCTTAGGAGGCAGTTTATTAGCCCTATAATGTGGAAACTGAGGCTTAGAGTTTCAGTAACCTGCTCAGAGTGCTAGCTCTTGAGCTTAGCAGTAGAGTTTGGAGAAGTACTCAGATCTTTGGGGCTGTGCTGGCTGAGTACTGGTGAGCTACTGTGCTCAGATGTTTGACATGTAAGTCTTGCTTTCTGTTCATGTTTAAGCAGCAACAACATCTGTGGCTTAGAGCAGGCTGGCAAAAAGTGTTCATGAGTCAGATTCTTTTTAAGATATATTTTGTGAGCCATGATTTCACATGTCACTAGTTCTACTCTGATTTGGAACTCTTTTTCTTTAAAGATATGGTTTGCTAAAATTCAAAAGCCCGAGGTTTTGTGATAGGAAAATAATTTATCTTTTAATATTTTTATATATATATATTTTTCTCAAACAGCTCAGAAAGAATATGGCTTCTATAGTGGATGTGCCTTTAAAGTTAATTTTGACATTTT